ATTTACCCAACGTAAATCCAAATTGTCTATCATGAAATTTGACTCCACCTGGCAGAAGCCGGGGCACTACAAGACGTTCTAAAAGCTTTCCTAACGATGGTAACAATGTTATTGGTCGGTAGGATTTAGGATCATCCGGTGGCTTGTCGCCACTTTTTGGTATTATACGAATATTACCGCACCGCCATATACGAGGAAATATTCCTTCAGCAATGCAACGTTTAAAGACAGTGAAAATCGTGTCACCCGAAAGTTTACAAGCTTCTTTTATCATTTTGTTAGATATTTTATCATCGCCCGAAGCCTTGTTTAGCGGCAAGGATCTAATGATACCGAGAAATTCGTCTGAAGATGGTAAATCAGACATTGGAGATAGTGGTGGTTCGATGGCCCACTGCCTGATCTGTCGGTGATGATCAGTGTCGTTTTCCGGTCGATCGTCAGGTACGAGTGAGTCTAAAAGATTTTCTGCTGTTTGTTCTACTCCTGTGGTATATCTGTTATTAATTTTGATGTTCTGTATGTATGCAAGGTCGATTGATCTATTTGCCTTAAATTCGTGATACAAAGGTGACCACGGGCCCTCTCTATCGAGTTTATCAACAAGTTTCTGAATTAAGTTTCCCTTGGATTTTTCCACAGCAGCTCTGTAGTGGGACCTGGCAACTCTAAGAGCAATATGAGCATTGTTGTACAAATCTCCTGTTACGTTATGTTTTTTAATATTGTTTCTACGTTTCCTATGTTTTCTACGAGCTTTCCGGTAGCTTCTACGTAGTTCGGCTAATCTATCATTCCACCAATCACATCTACGAGTGTTAGTGATAGATCCGCGATCAATAGTTACATCAGCGCAGTATGTAAAAGTTTCTGATAGTATTTCTGCGCATTGGCAGTTTATTGATGACCTTGCACCTACCGACTATTACTTTTTCCAAAATTTAGACAACTTTTTGGTGGGTAAAAAATTCGATTCCCGAGAGGCAGTACAAAATGCCTTTGAAGAGTTTGTTGCCTCCCGTCCAGCTGATTTTTACAAGAAGGGCATCAATAAACTGCCAATGCGTTGGTAAAGATGCGTCGATTGCATGGGTGATTACTTCGAATAACAGAAATAAAAAAGTTTGAAAAAATAAGCACTTTCACTTATTGCATACAAAACGGCAATTTCATAGGTAAAGACCTATTAATAACTTACACATCTTATTTGCGGCGGGGTGGTGTGTGGGAATCGAACGGACTAAAACCACACTTTGAGCCACTTCGCGCCTGAGATAGGGGTCCGGGAACAGCTGATATTAAGACATCCGAACCCACCCAGCGCCTACCCGCAGCAACGTGGGCACCACCTGTGATTAAATTCTTTATATAGGCGATGTCCGGCACACGCGGACGTCGCCTCCTCGCGGCTGGCCACTGGATGGAGTAGAAAACCTGTCCCGTTAACCCGCAGCCACACCCAGGGCGGCATGAGGCGCTGATAAGCGCGCCTACCCTCCCGGTTCGCCGGCGACGAATTGGATCCGAGTGCATATATCATCCTTCCGGGCCCTCTCCGCCGCCTCCTTCTCAGAGATAACGTCTTCGCAGAAGGATCTCTATCTCTCTATCTCTAACCGCCAATATCCTCTGAGGGCGCACGAGGCGTGCCCTATTCTGGGCGGTCAGAGACGCCACGCTGGTTCCACCCAAATGGGCCTGAACTGGTGCGAGGACCGAGTTGACAACATTAGAGGCGCCAGAGGAAGGACCACGGCGGGGCCCATGAAATAAGAGGGCCTCCTTCTTATCCAGGGGTGATATTCTATATCCAGTTTAGACCTCTAGGCCTATGGGCTGTATCTAGGTATAGTCAGTGTAAAGAAGACTAGTCTTAATTTTACCCAGATACTACTGGCTACTCCTGGGATTAAGGAAATTGATTTCATTGAATAAAAAAATATTAACCAACTGTGATTAACTGTAACTAGGTTTAGCTAGCTTGAACCAGGTGCAACCGTGATACAGATTTAAGGAGTAATTTATACCTACCGCTAAAGCCTTATTTACTGCTATAGATAGTGATCGGTGGATAAGTCGGTTACTGGTCTGAACAAACAATTAATAATGTCTATAACATCGACCTATCCATAGAATGAAGTTACTTTTGCAGAACCAATACATTTCAGGAGAGCGATTTATTTTCCTCTATAGTCTATTTATTTTACAGGTATACTTTTACCAGTCATCCATAGTGTTTTTAGGTAGTAATTGTTATGAAAATACTAACTTTTAAACCCATATTTTAGAATTTAGAAGGGTCAATGTGAATATGTGACGATATACTGTGAGAATCTGCCTGTCTTATATGCATTTGTAACATTATTTTCGGAAAAAGTGCCAGTGCTACATACACGTATAACTTTGTTTTACGTAAATCTGATTGACAAAAGTCATATATAACTTTATAACTTTATTCTTTGCATAGGTCGAAATTGTAGTAAGTATATGTAATTATGTGGCCACAAATATTAATTATAATCACATTAAAATAGGCAATTAATCAAAAATAACAATAACATACCTATTGTGTTATGTATAACTTATTAAAAAAATATTCAACATGTCTTAAAAATTCTTCGAACGGAATCTATATGAGTTGTCTGGGTACTCATGCTCACATTACTCATTACATATTCTCATATTTCATAAATATTATCTTATATTTGTCATAAAATCTCACTTATTAGTTTTTGTGCATCTACCATGTTTGGCTATGTGCATAAAGAATAAATAAAATAAACATATAAAATTCCAATGATTTATTATTCAATAAGAAAAAAAAAACATTTTTTATGTTTCTTTACAAACTTTAAATAAACATGCACACATTTCTAGCGCATTGAACTAAGTACAAACTCAATTGTGTTTGTATAATTATAATAAATTTAATGACACATGAAACATGGAATGATATCTGAAATTTTTCGAGTTGAATACCTGGATTTATTAAAAATAATAAATAATGTGTAGATGTTTTATGAGAAAACTATAGATAGTAAACATATTTGAAGTATTATGCCACAGAACATTGAGTAAAAAACTCAAGTAGGTAATGTCTTGCTAGTGAAATATCAAACACGCAAATAAATATTATTGATTTGTCTAAAATGTATAATGTAATGTTAGGGAAAAGGTATTTCCTGGCAGTGGCAATGGTATCAATCATTAGACGTCGGTGGAATGTAAAGTTGGAAATGCTAGTATTATTTATCATATATCATTCTTAATCTCATTAAACTAAAAATAACTTTAAATTCAAGTAGTCTTTAGTGATTGGAAATCACGTGTTCTGGTAAACCTATAAATCAGCAGGTCACATGGGCTCTGGGATGTTAACCTACATAGGTGTTTGCTTGTTTCAGAACTTAAGATCGTCGAAAGTTTAAATATTTTACACACTGATTTTTAGAATATTACTAACTAACTGATTAAGAAATGACATAGACAGAAATATAACAGATTGGAATTAAGAAAGAAAATGATATTAATTTAATACGCCTATTTTAAATGTTATCTACTAGTAATATCCTGCCACGCTTCGCTGTGGCACTTTTATGTCGCATTAATGAAAAATGAAGAACAAAACTGATGTGAAAAAATATAAAAAAAACAATTTTAAGCGGTTTGTATATCATGCGAAAATTTGAATTCAATCGGCTTAGAACTTTCAGTTTTTGAATCGTACACATATAATGTTAACATTTTGCCATGTATAGATATTCACTATCTTTACATAATGCAGGATTTCAGAAGAACCGTATGCCGTACCGCGGTAATATGAAAATACCATTTGATTTTTTATTAAACGTTAAGGGGATTTCGTGAAAGTAAGATTTAAATAGTATACACTCCAATAGACGTTATTTATACAGTGACTCAATAAAATATGATATGTAGAGTATGCAAAATTATAACAGAATAACTATAGATTTTTTTATACTATTTCATAGGCATGAGTTTTATTTTCGAACTTTTTGTCATACCTAAGAACAATATGTTTACCTATTTACATGAATATACAAGTTTATGTGTATTTACATATATCTATTTCTTTTTTAATTGTGTGGTCTATTAAAATTATAATAAGATGTCAGATGTACCTACACTCAAAGACTAGCTATAGTTGAGTAATATATAAATATTATGAATAAAGGTATTTCCCAAAATTGTGATAAACACTTATTATCAGCTCCTTGTTTTTTTATACTATAGATACTACTAATAAATTCAATTTGAAATTCTAGTCGTGAATTAGAAAAGAAAAAATTGGCGACCTATAACACAAATTTTCTTTACAAGATTTGTAGTCGCTTAGATTAATATGGCGTCATAAAATTTAATCTTTCAGTTTAATGAGCATAGATAACAGAAATATATTTATTAAACTTTAGAATATATATTATGTAGTAGGTGCGTTTTATTAACCGACATCTACTTACAAAGTACGCTTGTGATGCATTATTGAAAAATATTAGCTACATATTCGTTGTAATAACGATGGGCACATTAAATCTATCTTACATAATATTCATTAACTTTTTATTAAATTATTCATATAAGTAACTAAACATAAAAGTCCTGATAAATATTTATTTTTCGTCCTCAGTTTCAAGACATAATGTAGGTAAAAAGACGCTCAATAAAAACGTCCAGTAAGGAACCCTACACACAATACACGCGCGTGTTGAATGCAGTCAGAGCCTGAGGTAAAGAGCGGGACCACCTCCCCCTACCGCCCGTAAACCATCCAACTCACGTGCCAATTATACACACGCAGATTTTTCGTGGAAAATGGGGTTGACTGGTTTTGCGCGCTTTGGAAGTGACTTACTCCCCAAACGACAAGAAATGTACCTACGTTTTTTGCTACTTATTAGTTATTACCATTAACTTATATTAATGTAACCTATGTAATCCCCTTTTACTCCAAATATACTATTCGCAGCTTACTTTATTAGTTAATCAGCGAGATGTTTAATACGTTCGAGAAGTGCATCGCAAGTCTTCTTAGCGTCTCCGAGCAACATGGCGGTGTTAGGATTATAGAAAATAGGATTATCTACAGCGGCGTATCCAACTCCCATTGATCTCTTCATTACTACAACCTGAAATTATATTTAGTTAAATTTTTAGCTATTCTTCATCAGCTACTTTCATTTGTACTTCCTCTAAAAACATACAGGTTAAAAAAAACTTATTAATAAGATATGAAAAACAAGATTTTTTATTAACCTGGTTGGATTTCCAGACTTTAAGTACAGGCATTCCGGCGATCGGGGAATTAGGATCATCTTCAGCTGCACTATTTACGGTATCGTTGGCTCCTAAAATAAATAACACATATTGGTCATACAACGCTTTGCTTCTTAAAATGTGACAAAATTGAGAATATTTGATTCAAATAAAACTAGTGGCAATAGATTAGCTAACAGGTAGGATCCATAGGTATAACAAAAAAATATTAGGTCCATCCCAATTCCAAACCATCCCATGTATACATGGGATGGTTTGAAATTGGTCGAAGAACATATTATTTTCTTCTTCCCGCAGAAATTGATGGTGATTGTTCTCTCTAAGTAAGTATCTCCGTGACACTCTAAGTCGGTGCCCAATTTCTCTCATCTTCTTCCTTTCTTATGCCACATATTCCATAGTTTTGAACGATCACGTATACTTTTAATTCAACCATCTATAGTATATATATTGAATGTTAATTTAAACTAAATATTTATTTCTTGGGACTTACACATACAATGAATCACATAAGTAATTTACGATACGTAAACTTCTTAGATAATATCATTAAATTTAACTTACCAATGACTAAGACAAGGTCCGTTTCAGGGAATTCGTCATTAATTTCTTCCATTTCAAATACGTCATCATAAGGAACGCCAGCCTCAGCAAGAAGTACATTTAATTGTCCAGGCATACGACCTGTTTTAGAACAAAAATCACAGCATAAAAGACTTTTGGATAAATACATAACTATACAATAGATACAAAAGACGAATAATACCTGCCACTGGATGGATCGCAAATCGAACTTTTTTGCCGATTCCTTTCAAAATCTGCACTAATTCTGCAATGGGATATTGCGCCTTTGCTACGCAGAGTCCGTAACCTAAAAGAATATCGTGTCGATCAATAGAACATTACTTATAATATTATCTTACTAATACAAAACGGCATAAATTAGGTAAAACTTTATTTAGAAAGCCGGAGTATAGTGGAATAATAATTACCAGGTGTAATAATAATGTTGGTGGCGCGGTAAATGAGATCAGCGACAGAGTCTACGTTGAGTTCAGTGTGAGTCGCGCCCGCGGGACGCGCAGTTCCGCCTGTCGCTACGCCGTATCCACCCAGGATCACATTAGGTAGCGATCGGTTCATGGCCTACAAAATATGGTAAAATGTGAGATAACCTGCATTGTGGGTGATAAAAATGAATGTTCTTATTTAATATTGCGCAACGTTTTTACAGTACACCTACATAATGGAGCAATTTGGTTCAGTTTTATTTTTTGTCACAATATCGTTATGAGAAATATTTCGTTATGAGTCAGTCAGATATATTTTTTATAAGTTACTAGCGATCCGCCCCGACTTTGCACAGGTACAATGTAGATATTACTAATGTGGTGTCAGTGTGGAGTAATTAATTATACTATTATTATGATAAGACTATACTGCAGGACATATTTATACCCTTTTTTTTATATGTAAAAGATAAAAATGATTACTATGGGTTATCTACAGGAGATAGGCATGTATGGTCAGATGCAAACTTAATGGCGGCTCAGACTTAACTGTAGGCGCATATTCCGCGCGCATGTGCAATGTACAGATGTAACTCACACCACGGTACTATTATAATACAGTAGTGTAACTCGGCCGCATGATAGAAATAAATGCCTACAGCCGCGCGGTACGTAAACATGCGTTAGGGCTGCCCGTCTCCAGCATTTTATTTATATTTGCCTACTTTCTGTTTCTATTTAGATTTGTGATTGTAAATATCCTTTTTATATAAATAAATGAAATACTTTGTATATTGAATAGGAAGTGAGCCCGCGATAAAAGCTGCAATAGCTTAAAAATCCTTCTATAGAATAAAAAAATGTGCTTTCTCCTTACGCGTTACAAAACTCCAATCCTTAGAAACTCCAACACCTACCTACTCAACTAGAATGCAAGAAACAGCTGACGAGTAAGTCACTTTTTATCTCAGCTTATTAACGTCTCCATAAATTAGGTACCTACCTACAACTCAAAACACAAATTCTTTGGTCACCAATTAATTAATTATTAAAAAGCTGAACAGCTGACTACGAATGTTTTAAAATTACAACCCTCAAACATCTAAATCTATACGAATATTTTAAAGCTGAAGAGTTTGTTTGTTTGTTTGTTTGAACGCGCCAATCTCAGGAACTACTGGTCCGATTTGAAAAATTCTTTCAGTGTTAGATAGCCCATTTATCGAGGAAGGCTATATATCATCACGCTAAGACTAATAGGAGCGGAGCACCAATGAAGAATGTTTCAAAAACGGAGATAATTTATTACTATTGAGAGGTGCAGAGGAAGTTGCGCGGGTCAGCTAGTATTATATATGAGTCTAGCTGTTGTTGTTAATACCGAGAAAATGAAACCAGTTTTAGTGGTATATGTTGTTATAGTAGCAGCAAAAACACTTTGTGAAAATTTCGAAAACTATCTAATGACACACAGACGGTAAAAAATTGTTTCTAGTATTATTCATACACACAGATAATAAACAAATATTATTAAAAATAAAATACCACGTCTTTACTTTGAACTATGCAAAGTAACAAAACACACATGCACCGAAGTTTTAACACAAGCGTAAGTAGGTAGGTACCTACCGTATCATGATTCATTCAGAACCGCATATAACTACCTATTTCACTCGTCTCAATAACTTTCCGTTACTCTATTCGCTTTATTAATCCAAACACCTTTTTTTTCGTAAGATAAAAGGAAATACTTATCCATTAAAAAGACACACATTATGTACCTACCTACTAGTAAGTAAAATAATTTTATAGTCTTACCTTTAAGTTTCCAGGTAATTTAAAAAAACTTATGTCTGGATGCGTTATTGACGAATTCATACAACCAAAAACAGCACAATATTTCCTACTCCTCATATTAACTGATTTTTAGAGAAAAAATCGTGCGGTTATTGTTAAAGAAAACAACACACCGTCCGTTCGACATTGCGGTACAGCCGTGATTGTCTGCGCCCCGAGCGCACCCCGAGATCGAGGCGCGTAGGTATAGCTCGCGTTTCGTCCGTTTGTATGAAGTTGGAGTACTGTATTATAATTGTACCGTGCTCACACTCTAAAAGGCATGCGTGTCGTGTGTCGCCCTGATCCCGCGCTCATTTATGTCCCGCTGCTGTCTAATATTGTGTTCTGCGCATTGAAACGAACGATGTGCTGAGCCGCCATTAAGTTTGCATCTCACTGTACTGTTGCGGACTTTTTTGTAGATCTTTTTAACATATATAATGCCGTGCTAAATTGTTTGCAATGTAAGCGCACAAACACGTGTCTTTTTACGACTTCACATTACAAATATCATAAATTCTTCCGATTTCCTCTACTGTAATATGCATTTAAATCCACCTCTTGAATCACTCTCTCTATTGGTGAAAATCGCAAATCCGTTGCGTAGTTTAAAAGATCTAGGCGTGCCAGAATAAAAAGTGACTTCATATTATACTGTGTAAAGATTACCTAGAAAGACGTGTTCTTCCGAGGTGAGGAATCTTTGGATGAACCAAACTCAAACTCTCTTTATTTCATAAAAAAATTAAAATTGTTTGAAATCGTCTTTTATGTAGACTCTAAAGTCATAGAACAACACACACAAAAGCAACAATCACTGTTTTGTCAAAAAATAAGCAAATAAATTTAAATTATATATTTCGTTATTTAATTATTTCATAATTAGATATTTTATATCATTTTTTGTAATTCCTTTTTATTTTGAGATTCACGATGCTTAAGTAGCGTCATCGGCGGTTTTAATGTATTAAAAACCAAGAAACATAAAAATACCTTGCACATGATATAGGAGAGGATAGCACCAGAGCTACCGATGAGGGCTCCTACAATAGTCATCAGAGAATTGTTGAGCATGAACCCTTCAGCGCACAGAGCCCACCCGGAATAGCTGTTGAGGACTGTGATTACCACCGGCATATCGGCACCTTCAAAAATACATACATATTCATAGCATAGAAATAATTGCACATGCATACATAGTTGACGCTCAATATGTATAGCTTCTAATAGTGTTACCTCCGATGGCAGCGGTAAGTGTAAGTCCCTGAATGCCGCTGAGTATCGCCGCGGCGGAGAGCAGGGGCAGGCCGGGCACGTCCGGGAAGGCGAGCAGCGCGCCCCCACAGCCGAGCGAGCCGGCCAACAGCCCTGCGTTTATCGCGTGACGGCCCGGCAACAGCAAGGGGGCCGAAGATAGAGAGCCTTGTAGTTTGCCATATGCCACCAGTGACCCACTGCAATATAATAATAATATTTTCGGACATCTGACACACAACGCCATCTGGTTTCAAACTAAGCAGAGCTTGTACTATGAAAGCTAGATTGATAGAATACTGATATACTTTTCAGTAAATGCATACATATTATTATTATATTTGCAGATCATACAAACATTTGTTCCGACCAAGGCATCGAAGTCGAGACCTCTGCATAGCAGTCGCATACACTACCACTGAACTACCGCGGCAGTCAATGTAAATGTATTTTACAAAACTAATTCATTCGATCCATAGATAAATATGAGTCAATTCAAATTGTACACGGATCATCATCAACAGCCTATAGTAGTCCACTGCTGGACTTCTCCTTAGGAAGAAAAATAAAAGCTAATGTTAATAAAAACGATAAAAAATTCTAGTTTAACACTTACGTGAATGTAATGCCTCCGATGTATGTGCCGAGGAACAAGGATGTCTTAAGAGTCGCAGCAGTCGGATCTAAAGCCATCGCGGGGAAATCGTGCATGTATGTCGCAAGGCATGTCAACACCGCCGCCATACCGACAAGACTAAAAAAAATGCGTTCACAGAAACTTTGTTATTCAAATACTTAACAAAGTAATCATTGAAGTTATTAACTAATTACATTTTATTTCAATCAATAGAGAAGAAGCATCAGTTCGTGTGTTCCCCAAACCATTCGTTTAAGTCCTGTGCTTCAAATGCCATCCCATCTTGCCTATCTTAGTATTTTAATATAGTCCCAAATTTCCTACAATAAATGTCCAAAATCCTTTTGGCAGCAATAGATTTGCCCCCTATTACGTGAATCTCAACCAATTGTTACCTTCCTGTGTATATGACTTTACTTCATACCTGTGGAAGCCGGCCACCAGTTGAGGTAGATCGGTTATCTCTATTTTCTTAGCAATGGTACCACCAATAGCACCACCAATTCCAGCTACCGCCAACATTTGAACCAACACCTCAGTACTGGGAGTAAGAGCTCCTAGTGTTGCAGCAATACCCCCGGCCACACCAATCTAAGGATAAACAATATTATAGCCGTTTAGGAAAAGAGAATGTACTAAATGTGTAACTGTGTAACCTCAGTCATTAAAAGACGAAGGCAAAGATGATTTTTTATTTAGAATTTTATTTTCACATCAAAATATTTTACATTTCAAATGTATGTTAGACATGTTAGGTACATATTTATGAACACAGCAAATATAAAGTAACTTATTAAAACATATGTATATATTATTTCATGTAAAATTATTATACTTATGTCTTAGTTATAACTTCTAGTAAATGATCTAATGAAATGGTGTCACAATCAAATAAACGATGACGATCTTTAAAAAACGCTTTCATTTTATTATTATTCATGTAGCCATTATGATAATAGTTTCAGTGGATATTAATAGCAATAAAATTCAGTAATATTACAATCATACTAGCTGTTTCGGGATCTGAACATCTAGGATATCTAATATATATATAAAAATATAATCTAATTAATTGTAACATATACATATGTAATCTATCTCTAAAGGAGTCTCCCTTTGTTAATATATGTAGTTTAAAAAACTAAAGACCTCTATGTATAGATGCGTGTAGAATCAATAAAATATTACCATTCCCAAATAATTTCCCTTTCGAGCTGTTACTTGAGAACTGAGGCCAGCTAGAGCTCCCACACAGCAAAGAGAAGACGCTAAATAAGCCATTTGGTGGACTTCTGGATATCCCTATAAAAATATTTATAAAAAATATAAGTTTTAGTGTAAAGTAATACTCTGTATTACTTGAATAATTACACATTACTTAATATAATTTATACTAATGAAACTGCATTATCTTTTTAAATATAGCTGGAATTTAGATTATTACCTGCATAGCAGTGGTTATGTAACCACCGAGAAGGGCAGCAGCGGGAATAGCGTACAAGTAGCCATATTCTGGCGGATCACCAGGCCTAAGGAAACGAAATCAATATCTTTATGTAGACTAGGTATTCCTTTAACTTAATAATGCTGTATTATTTGTCTTTAGTCCACACGGATGCAGGTAAATAATTACAGACACATACACTGTAACACAACTCACACATTAGGTTTTAAGATTTAGTAACTTAATATGATTACCATCATAGTTCAGGTAAATATTGGCAATGTGCTGCACTTTGGGAAATAAAAAAAAAAACAAAGAAAAAAAAATTACCTCTTGAACATGTCAAGCATACGCTGCGTAACCAAAAATCCACCGAAAACGTTGACAAATGATATCAGAGCCGCAGTACTTGCTAACCACTGGAAAACAAAACATCTTACTACAATCCAAAATAACTAATAACTAATCCAGATACTTTTGCTCGACTTAAAATCAAGCGAAAACTGTAAGGTTATGTCTTTGTTCATCGTTTTCAATTCAGGACATTCACAGGAGGACATCATCATCATCATTTAGGATGTTTATGACTCTCAAAACTGTATGGTGTGGATAAAGCTAGATATTAGCTTGAATTTTTAGAAACAAACTTAAATTTTTATTTCATGTCAACCACTGTCATTTAAGCGGTCAAAACTATTTCTAACCGGCAAAATCAGTCACAAGTACTTTTAACATCATACTATTCTCGTAACCTCATCTAACCCAAATGATTCAATAACAGTAGTGATAATAATAATATTCAAGTAAAATATTAAAGCAATTCCTTTGCTTTAACTGTAACTTTTGAATTTAATACCCAAGTACACTGTACAATACGCGCGCCAAGTAGCGCCGGAAAATGCATTTGCAGGCATCAGAGGGGTCGGAGGGGGGCGGGGAGCACGCAGCCGCCGACGCGGTGCACCGCTGCAAGGTCAGTCGTGTATCTAGCTCTAACGCATTAACTAATTTTACTGCTTTTCTTTAATTTAAGCCAAATACCTGCACAGGAGTCTCCGGGACATAACCTCCGCCCATAAGTAGCAAGCCACCGACAGCAGTGATGCCCGATACGGCATTGGTCACCGACATGAGTGGTGAATGTAGAGCGGGCACCACGCCCCATACTGTGTGATAACCTACCACTCCTATAAATACCATAATTAGTTACTTATTAACATTAAATAATAAGAAAAAAATATGTACATTAAATCAAAAGAAATTCTCGGTGAGCAGCACGGGACTGGTTCGTTTAAAATCTTACAACAGTAATAAATAATTCATTGCTATATATACAATAACATGATATATACAAATATTCTTGTATAGGAATATTTGCACTGAGCGGATATCGAACCCGTGCCCTTTAGCATTGTTATCAAATGCACTACCGTAGCTACATAGACAGTCAAATACTTTATTCGAGACAATAATGTGTTTTGAATTGGTCTAAAACAAAAACCTATTTTATCTTTGCGAAGGTCGCTATGATATAAAATGATACAGTTATTTTAATTACCAAAATATGGCAGAGGATTAGATGCTGTGGATATAATGTACTCGAAAACATATTTGCACAAAACAAACAATTATAAAATATTACTGTTATAATAATTATAAGTATAACTACTATTTAAAAGGCCGTGACTAATGTGTATTATCAAGTTAATAACAAGAACGGGTTAAAAGTAATGCTATGTATATGCTAGTAATAAATACACACACACACACACAGATAGACAGCAATCGACACTTATTTGTTTACCTGATAAAGCTAGTGTCGTCGTCATAGTTGTGAAAGCAGGATTTGGTGATGCTATTCCTAATCCAATCAAACTAGCCATTCCTGCAAAATAAGAAAAGAATCAACAATACTGTAATAATTGTTCAGCTACATCGTATGATATACAGCCATGGGTTACCACCGGTTTGGTGTGAGGACGTGGTATCACTCCAGTCGAGCCGGACTGTTTTTTGCCGAAGCTTGACTCTCCCACGGTAATGTGTATTTTTTTTATGGATCAGATAATATTTTATGTTATTACTAATTATAGTATCAAACATAATAAAACTAATTTGTAGGAGCTTCCTCCTCCTTCTGTAGGTTGATTGGATGGAAATAAAACATTTGGAAAGGAATGGCACTTGAATGCCATTATAGTGATATCTTATATTCGTTATTACCTAGTTTTTTTGAGTGTAAATCTAATATTATGTTAGGCAATGATGTTAGTCAACATTTCGACCATTGTTTCTGTTCTATTGAATATAATCTAAATCATATGAATTGTTTAAAGTTTTTCGTGTTCAACGTCAGGCTATTTCGTGATAAGTAATATTTTTTGTAGATAAATGAGTTTTTTTTTATATTTTACCACCAGAACAGAATTTATTTATATTTTATGCACAAATGTGACAAAAGCGGACTTAGGGCGATGCAGAGCTAAAAAAATGAGGCAAAATTATTTATATACAAATGTAGATAGAGTCCAAATGTTATGTATGTAGATAGAGTTTATACGTAGAAAAGGTGCGAGAATGCTAAAATTTTTAAACAATATCTGTTATTTTAAAAATTATGTGACAGCCACAAAAAGCTAGGTGGGTGCAGTATACACATATGTGATGACCTGTCGGGAAAACTTTATACTTAAATCGACATAAAACAAAATTTTAAAGTTACTAAGTCACATCATCATCACATAACATCAAGAGCCTTTAATAGGCCACTGCTGGACATAGGCCTCTCCTTAGAGAGGAGGTTTTGGCCTACTATACCACGCGGTTTGAGTCAAGTTTTCCTTCTCTTTGCAGTGCTGTTGTCATTTGCAGTTTGCTCCCTCAGTCGGCTCTTACGACACACATGGGGTGAATAGGGGTGGTGACACTCCATATTTTTAATCCGTCACCACACGGATAAAGTTAATGAATAATAATAGAAATTACACGATCAAGCGACTATTAATGTATCATCATTAATTTACCAGTAGAATATAAGAAGGCGTCCTTTAAAGTTTCGTTGAAAGGGTTGGGTGGGTCCACTTTGACAGCGGCAGTGGGCGCGGCAGCAGTCTGCGCGGCCACCATGCTGGGTGGCGGCGGCGCCGGCCAGAGAAGTTCGCCCGCCTTGAGTACTATTGACCCGCGAGTCACTTCGTCCTCTAAATTAATGTGGAAGTGATCATTCGAACCTGGTAACATACAAAATAAGAAAAGTTAACTTAGTTTTCGTGATCGCGGTTCAACGCCGAATCTAACCAACCTTCTCTTAGGTTAAACATATAATTAGCTATTATCCATTTCCGTTGTGGATTTTGTATTCGATCTCTCACATGCGAAATCGGCGTGTCATTTTTATGTACAACAATCACACAACATTTGAAGTAAAAATAATATGATACGTACCTAGAGAATACTAGATTACTAAAAGTGCTTTAATTCTCTAACAATAACAGATACGTAACGTTGGAAACGTAAATCAACACCGGATTTGATCTTTTTAAATTAGGAAAAAAAACAAAGTTTCCAATCTCACCTAACTCCTATTGCTTTCAGATAGGTAACTCATTGTGGAGTATTTGTTAAATGAACAAAAGAAGAGCGAGTGGTCTCCTTCTTTCTCACATTTGGTTTTGCGTGATTGAAAATTGTTCTGGCTTAGATAAACGTAAATAAACTTTTTAGTTATTTATTTTGTCTGTAGTCTAGAACAAGTTACGAAAGTAATAATAGGTATTAATAATTAGAGTTAGATATTAAGTAATAATTAGAATAGAGGCCAAACCCCTTTTTCATCGATATTTTTTAAAATACATTGAAAGTAATGAAACCAGTCAAGAGATATGTTATCGAACTTTCATGTTCAAACTGGTAGTTTAGTAGATTTATACCATAATTATACATATAACACGTATATCAGTGACGCTACCAACCTAAGCTAAACAATAATCCAGATATGTTGTTCGCGTAGAGCGTAGAGGCGTGTGCTGGCATCCGACTGGGCAGGTCCGTGAGACCAATATGTGTGACACCATGCACTTTGGCTATTTCACCCTTTTTTGTTGTCTCAACATTGCCACCCATCTCCGCCGCTAGATCTACTATCACACTTCCAGGAGTCATTCCGCGGACCGCGTCCTGAATTCACAAATAAAATAATTATGCACCGAGTGTCCGAGTCAGTCTTATTACAGCGGAGTTATTTTTTTTCAATCTTTCGGGAACAGTAGTTTTTCATGACATGTATCTTTTTCTTTTTGGGCTTCCGGTAACCTCGGTGAAAAGCATCGAAAGAATTCCTTAACACCGGTTTTCTGTGAGACGGTGTGGTAAGACTCCAGCCGAGCAGGCCCATGTGTTCCCAAGCATAGCGCGCCCACGATATACACTTCTTTTCTACTTTTAACCTCCAATAAGTATTGGTGTTCACTTTACTGCTTGTTCACACCTCTTTACCCGAATGCAACTTTCATATTTCATACAGATTAGATAAAAAATGCCTCGGTGTTTCCTTAAGATAGTAATAATATAGGTCAGACAAATACTAAACATCCAGTAATCCTACAAGTTTATATTATAATAAGTACTAAAGAATCAGGTATATAGTCATACTACATAGTCAAAATCGTACTTTATCAAATCTGTACTCAATTTTTCTCTTCACATTACAGAACACTTTTAAAGGAGATTATTATCAAATCTGTAATACATACGGAATCTGCAGTTGAATTTCTCATCGTCTTACTAATTGTACCGACAGCCGTTAGTAAAGGTACTTGTGTAGACGATTTATTTAGTTAAGATAATCTGTCCTCATGTAACCTATCTCTCAATAAGCGTTATCTTAATGAGGTAGATCCCCGGATCTAAGTATTTTAATTGTACATTTTAAAGCGATAATGTTGAAAAAAAAAACACTTTTCATTAAATCATGTCATTAAAGCATAATACGGCTAGTAATATTCCATAAGCGTAAATTACCTCAAGAATAAGTATAGGTGCCGGTTTACCGGGGATGAGCGCAGTACTGATTACTACATCAGACGATCTAGCCTCCTTTCCAAGGAGTGCCCTCTCAGCATCAAGGAACTCTTTGCTCATCTCCTTAGCATATCCACCTTCACCGGCGCCCTCCTCCTGTATACGCGCGTTCAAATATTAATTAGGTATATTCGACCAGGCTCGCATTATAAACGTTTACATTACTATATTAGTTATGCAAAATATAACATTAACAGTGTTTGGAATACAATGTAAAATTATAGTTGTATGTACACATTATTTAACCTACACATACAGTGTGTGGGCATGTAAATATAATTCAATGAGCACACGAGTTGCTCAATTAAGATCTATTTATACCATCCAAATAATTAAGGATAATGTATCATTATGATCTGTGCAGTGTTCTTGGTCATAATATAATACTTTTAATATTTATAAGTATCCTTATTTCCAGCCATTTAAATTTAGCTAGGATCTAATAAAAATATTCTCAAGGTCTTCAATATGTAAACACGTTTGAGAACTACATTAGCTATAAACATATCAATTTGATTGGACTAAATTATAAACCAATTATTGACTAATGGATTATTGACAGTGCATTACGAAGAACGAACCCTCTGTAAAAACGAGCCATGCTATGAACGCCTTAAAAGTTACAAATTCGGCCAGTATTTTACAAAAAAAGTCTACAAAAACAATACCATGAATGATATAAAATGTATGAGATAATAATATATAAGAATAAATGAAATCACGTCACTAAATACAATAGAATACAACGTGTGGAAAGTGCATTAAACGTTTAAATTTACTCTAGATTTAGCGAAACAAAATAAACTGCACAAATGTAATGCACAAATACTAGATACGTGACTAGTTTATTTAGCACTACGAGTCGTTTGAACAAATTACCATTGGCGATAGCAGCCAAGGCCACGGTGGTCGCTGCACCCCAACCATTAGGATTAGGGTACACCCACCTCTGAAACCAAATACTTTAATAAGAACAGTTTCTGATGTGAAACATCTAATGCGGAGGTTCAGACCGATTGTTAACGTGGCGACGCGTCGCCACGGCATAAGTCGCCACGAAATGTGATAGTATATTTAACATGTAATGCGGTGTGGTGACGCGTTTTTGTACTCACTATAGAAATCTTAATTAAGCTATTTCACGTCTGCCACACATCCCGCAACGGCTCAATTAACATGAAAAACAATCACTGAAGAACACCGAAAATATTTTTTAATAATATACTAGGCATGCCTTTTAAGTTCTGTCGTTTCCATATTTTCCGGCAATTTTGAATTTAGAACTGTTCTATATTCGAATGTGTTTAAATTTTGAATCTCAAAACAGTTGAAAGTTTTAGGATTAATGCTATTGTTTAGTCACAGCGTCGATTGGAATCTGTCAGGTTACGTACGAAATTGAATCTTTCTAAGGAAAATGTTCGTGCAATAATTTTCTACAACTTTAGAAGAGGCCTGACACGGCTTCAGTGTTTAAAGAGCTAACATCTGTGTTCAGTGATGAAACCCCATGTCTGCGGACTGTCGAACGCTGGTATTTAGGATTCCAGCGTGGACATACTCGTGTTAGTGACAAATCTCGCGAAGGACGCACAAAATCCGCCTTCACTGAAGATAACATCTTTGCTGTGAGACAACTAACTCTCGAAGATCGTCATGTGACGTATCCAGAGATAGAGGCTCTGTTAAGCATCTCGGGGACAACCATTCAAAGATCTTGTATAAAGCGCTTGGTGTGAGAAAGCTAGTTTGCCGTTGGATACCGCATCTGCTTTCCGTCGATCACAAGGCGGCCCGCGTCAGATGGTGTAAGAAAACTCTGCAAAGGTTCAACCGAGGAGAGTCAAATCACGTCTACGACATCATCAGGGGTAACGAATCTTGGATCTATGCCTACGATCCTGATTCCAAACAACAATCTACAATCTGGGTCTTTCAAGACGAGTCAAAGCCGACTAAAGTTGTTCGTTCTCGAAGCACTTCAAAGAAGATGGTGGCCACGTTCGTTGGCAAAACCGGCCATGTTGCGACTATTGCACTTGAAGATCATAGAACGGTTAACGCAGAGTGGTATACCACACTTTGTTTACCGCAAGTCATCGACGAACTTCGAAAATCTAACTCAACGCGACGCATCATCCTGCACCACGACAACGCAAGCTCACACAGCGCTCGTCAAACGATTGAGTATTTGAAGCAGGAAAAAGTAGAAATTCTTGACCATCCTCCTTTACATTTCCTAAAATTAAGAAAAGTCTTCGTGGTCAAAGGTTCCAGTCCGGTGAAAAAGCAGTCGACGTTTAAGTCAGCCATTTTGAACACCCCTACTTTAGATCCATTCTAAAGTGGGGTGTTCGAATGTTATAATAACTGGTTTGAGCGAATGGAAAAGTGTATTAAGCTACGTGGTGAATACTTTGAAAAACAATAAAAAGTACTATAAGGTTCTAGTTGTGTTTTTTTCTTCAAACGACAAAACTTAAAAAGGCATGCCTCGTAATTTATAGTTCAAGAAAACTAAATACATAATATCCACAGTAATAATCGGGCCTAATCAGAAAATGATCAATGTGTGTTTGAAGCTAACCCACTAGCTATAGCGCAACATCCATTTTATAGGTTTGTAGGTGTAGGTGTTTATAGGTTTATAATAGTTTATATGCTGTTGTGTGCATTACTGCAGTGCGGGTACGCCACAGATTACCCCCTAATACATTCCGCATACAGGGTCACAAAGGCGAACAACACATACTTGCTGTAGCTAGCATACGAAATGACGCTAAGAATCACGACATTAGTAACGACCAAGTTTGTGGCCCGTACGCACGTCCAAGTTCTTGATAATTTAAAATAGTTTTAATTTAAAATATATTAGAAATAGCTTCCTGTACAGTGAAAAGTCAGCTAAGACATCGAATTATCAAAAATATGCCATAACATTTCATCAGTAAGTATAGTATATTCGTATCAGGTTAACCTATTTCAAATGCACTGGAATTCAACTTATACTGGTGCAAAGTAATAACAATTAAGCACCAGTTGATGTCTTTTTGAAATGTCTCTTTCACTCATTACGTAAAGTACAATGGTTGTCTTTGTCTTATGACTGCACGAGTATCGATAGTGTTGTGGTTTATAGGTCGATATTTGGTTGTTCATCCTTTGATTTTTTTTTTATTGAAGTAATTATTTCGTAGAAATAGTGGCGTATAATGATACGCCACTATCATCACCGGCATTTAGGAAACCAATAACATATACAACAATGATTGTATATGTTATTGGTTTCCTAAATGCAACAAAAGAAAAAGATTTGGATGGACTTGTCGAGAGGACGATTAAAATATCCAATCACAGCGAATGTGACACGGCCCCCACAACCCTTGCGTACCGCCAAATTTGGTGAACTCGAATCGGAACAAATCTATACTAATATTATAAAGCTGAAGAGTTTGTTTGTTTGTTTGTTTGTTTGAACGCGCTAATCTCAGGAACTACTGGTCCGATTTGAAAAATTCTTTCAGTGTTAGATAGCCCATTTATCGAGGAAGGCTATAGGCTATATATCATCACGCTAAGAGCAATAGGAGCGGAGCACCAATGAAGAATGTTTCAAAAACGGAGAAAGTTTATTACTTGAGAGACGCAGACGAAGTTGCGCGGGTCAGCTAGTATTCAATAATGCGGAATCTATTAGGGGGTAATCTGTGGGGTACGCATATTTTGGTTTCATGTAATACACGAGCATGCTAATACGCAACTGTTGTTTGCGTTACTGCAGTGCGATTAACACATACTGTTTTATGAAAAAATGTAGTATATAATTTTAAGAATGGTAGTGCTTGATAATTATCAAAAACATTATGTTTTACTAAGATAACATGTCTGTTTTATTAACACAGGTGCCAAATGCTTTCGAGTATAATGGCCATAATGGCAATTATAATAGACGTGATCAATCTTTATGACTACCATAAAAGTAACATTAAATTCACTAGATAGTACTAAAACGCAATTTTAATATTCTTGACATACATTCATATAAAATCTCTGAGTAAGTAACTTTTTACTGCTATCAAAGTAATAATGCTCTTGAAATAATTTTGAATCGCAGTTCGCTGTTTTTGTTAGAAGTCGTTTTAATAGCTTAAGTGAATAAAAATTATACTATTTGTCTTAAAACAGTGTGTAAATATCAACTTCCATTAAATTATAGCACTCCAACATGGGTTGCACATTAACTTATTTTATTCACCAATGAAACCAAACTTATTCAAAATGAAATGATAAAATGATATTTATTTCTGCAAGTAAAACTTTTCAGATATTTTTACAAGTCGGAAATTGTATTATTCATGTCTGCGTGTTCAGGCTGGATTCGAACTAACAACGATTGTATTGATAATCAGATGCGAAGCGTCGCATTTATTACTGAATTTCTAACCTTCATTTCCATGGTAATAAATTGAGCACCGAGACTTTCAATTTGCTCTCGGACGGTGGGACGCGTATCAAAGGCGCGTACTGCGGCGCCCATACAGCGCGCCTGTGCGGCCGCGGCCAGGCCAGCTACTCCACCTCCGATAACTAAAACACGGCATGGTGGGACCCGCCCAGCTGCTGTCATTTGACCTAGGAGTTGTAAACATCGTCAGTTAACACGCTTCCTGAGTAATAGTAGAAACAATACATTTTGCAGTTCTGCAATTACGGAGGATCCGTAACGATATTGCAGTTTATTTAATACTGCAGTAATAATATTCTTTGATATCTTGTTTATTTTTCCGATAAGCATACTAACCCTGATATTTGTAAAAACTGATAGGCCACAAGAATAGGCTGTCATGTTGTTTGTTATAACAAACTTTAAATTTGACAAATAGTTATTTCTTTAGTCGGTTTATTTTCCTGCTAAAGATTATTTTTATTTGGTTTTATATCTAAAAAGTAATAACTATTTTGAACAATAAAAAGAGTTACCGAACTCTACTGAAAAATAAATGTGATGTTGTTATACATACTCGTAATAAAGACACAAACGTGTTGGTTCAGAGTTGATTCTGCTCCGTTTTTTAAATAAAATCTAAAATTACCTGTAAAAAATCGTGGAAAATGCGCCGCAGCTTCGATCACAGCTCGGTATCCTGCTACATTTGCCATTGAACTAAGTGCATCAAATGCTTGAGCACGACTAATACGCGGTACACAATCCATTGCTAAAATCAATAAAAATCATCAATATAATCGCATTTATTTAATGCGGCTGCAAATTTATGCAAGGTGTAGTAATCTTACCAAATGCATTCACTTTTTTAGCTGCGAGTTCTTTTATTAACTCTTGATTCTGTGCTGGGTATAAGAAAGATATAAGCGTGCCTTGAGCTTTTACGTTTTGTACTTCATTTATTACTAATGGACGGACTTTTAATATAATATCTGAAAACGCATTATATATTAATAGTGTTGCGCCATAGGATTGAGTGGTTCTTGTGATGTGTCTAGAGGACAGCGCTATCTAGTAACAAGTGGGGCACAACGCTCCGCATTGAGATTTTGGTTCTTTATGCCGATACTTACTTGCAGTGCCTTCTAGTGTCGAATATCGGAAGATTATAGCAATTTATAGATGCCTTATTGTACATGGTTTTGTCTGGAACATTCCATCGTATCTTCGGGATTAGTCTAGTAATTACGCTAGCACTATAAAAGTGGAGCGTGTTGGCCGTACGGGACAGTATCGTTTTACGACACAGCGAATTAACATCAAAGTGAATTCTAGTGCGACTAACGATTAATATAGCGATTTCTTCTTTTTAATAGTGAATGTTTATAAATACAGTGCAACCCCGCTCGTAACAATAGGATACATTTTTTTAAACGACAATTCCCGCACTAGGAATATATCCTGTGTCGCAGAGTACTTTAGTAACATTCATGAAACGGATAACGGATAACGAAACACAAATAAAACCCAGACTCAGAAAGAAAATTTGTTGATCACCCAAAGTGTCTTGCCATGTGGGGATCGAACCCACCACAATCAGCTTAGTAGGTGGCGGCGTGGCGACCGCTTAAACCACTACGACATCCGTGCAGTCGTTTATATAATAAACTATATTGATAATAATATATTTATTAATAGTCAAATTCTTGGGTGGTGCAAATCTAATTGTTTAAAAAATAGCGTCTCTAGTCACCAGACTGGAATGTGTCCTTTAAGTTAGTAACATTGGCTCCTGCTTCCTCGTAAGATTTATTAGGGAAATTAGCTAATGCTCCTGCGTTCTCTTCAATATTAACAGTGAAGCCTTTTTTAATCAATTTGCTAACTACTGCTGGTACAACAGCAACCCTGAAAATAAATAACTTGCTTACTACTGACTTGTAATTGAAGTGATGTTAGTCTCGTATATCAATGTACGTATGCGTACGCATATGTATTATTTGTGATATTCTTGCTTAGTAAATAAAGACAATTGTAAAGGTACCTTTTTTCATTATTCCATATTTCTTTTGGTACTCCTACACTAAGTTTTGTATAAGGCACCCCCTGTGTAGGGGGTGCTGCTGCAGAAGAACTTGACAATCTGAACTGCCATGACCGCTGTATAGGCCTACATGTTTGGAGCAACTTTACAGACCCACTCATTTTGGTACAACTGGAAATATTTACAATAAAATTACTAAGTGTATATGTAATAATTTTAAACTTTCTCGTTCCATGACGTACAGTTTAAACAGTTAATTTTATATGGTCGAATATATGTCCACGTTCATTTTATCATGTTATTACCATTGAATATATAAAATGTCGCATTTTTCTTAAACTGAATTTACTTCGAAAAGAGATATCACTTTCTGTTTGTTTTTATTGTATATTTCGGTTAGACTGTTTTTAGTCTAATAGGCATTACGAGTATTACGACACACTAAATCTTATAGCTTCAAACGAGTAAGTTCTCGGAAACGGCTCTAAAGATTTGAGCACAAAGTACAGTAATATTACTAGAAAGATTTGTGTCAAATTTTATATGTAGTGTAGATAAGTAGATGCCTTTCTTAAAAAAAAACAGCAACATACGATGGACGTACAAAATAAGTCATGGCTTTTACAAAAAAAAAATACAACGCCCAGCGAAGCTCGGTCGCCCAGATACAAGTATTAATATTTTTTTCTATTGTTAGTGTCTCTACCTGCCTTAGTTGTGAAAAAAAAATATAGAAAAAAGTTTAGAAAAGAATAGTCTTAAAAAAACAGGTACCTAACGATGTCCCTCAAAATTAAAGGGACATGTTTTTTGAGCCTTAAATACAATACACATTCGCATGATTTAGTATCAAAGCTGTACAAAAAATATCTACAGACAGTTGTGCAACGAAGAAAATAACTGTTTTTTCTTCATTAAATATGTACTAATAATAATGTCATTAATTATCACCAGCAAAGTATTGAAAAAACATTGGTTGTTATTTGTTTTGTAGATATTGCCGCTTTCTGCGAGCAGCTCTGTCGCCATATTATTATATTCTTTCGATTTGTACAAATCATAGTAGACATAAGAAACGTAGATTCGCTATTTCTGGAGTCGTTATTGATTATTATTGATATTGTACCTACTACAGATATTTTAAGTTACAGGATTAGAATACACGTGAATTGCCAAAATGAGTACCTACCACCTCGCAGATAAAAGGTTTTGATGACCTGAGAAACTGGTACTTGATGGGGCAGAGTAGACTACCTTAGTAGAGTAGACATTTGTTCTACGAAATGGATGTTTGTATTATTACCGTTTTTATTAACAGAAAAAGACTGAATTCTGTTTAACAAACAGGAAGTAAAAAAGAAATGGATAAAGAAAATACCTAATTAAAGGTAAACATCAATATTTTGTGAAAACATGTTAAACCTATAAGCACTATTCTCAAATAAAGTATCACTTGAAAGCAATTAAGTATTATTTTATTATCTTAAACCGCGGCACCGGGCGATGATATTATAAAAAAAACCAGAAGTAAACATTTCGATTACAACCTAAATTCACTATTTAGGTTTAGTTTAGGTACTTGTATCTAGTTAGTAGGTACGTAAGTGATAGAAAGACTAAATACTTTATTCTAACATAACTCAGTTTCTTTTTCTCTTACTATGCCTATATCACTAACAACCAATCATTCTCATTTCAATTGTTAAAATTTTTAATTAATTTCGTTCATAAAGTATAATAAAACTTCATTATGTATTCAAAAAGATATCAATATCTATGGAAATGACCAGTATCGAGGCTTAGCCGACCACATAAATCATCAATATAAATTTGGCCACATTTACCTTTCTTCAGTCCGGTTTCTTTCTTTCTTCTATAAAATTTGTAAACCGGTGACACTCAATAGTGATTAAACATACAAAGACACTGGATACAAATGTTCTCCAAATACCTATCACGAAATACTGAAATGGAATCACTAATTATTACTCAATTAATTACTCAATTAATTTTCGGTGTATTTATTCGTAACGAATATACACGATACCCGCAGGCCGGCCGACAAGACGTGTCCGGTAATGCGACAGGCCTGGCATTTACAATTTAATGTTCGACACAGTAACATACGATAACACCAACTTGGGAGTTAAACAGATAAAACCGCTATTGAATATGAATAATACGGGCAGTTATCGGAGCGGCGGGGCACCCACGCGGCGGCACCGAAGCTCACAAACAAGAATTTTGTTGAAGTTGCAATTTTTGTTATTAAATTTCTTCTAATGTTTTGAAAACGTTGACTTTGACATTAATTTAAATTTATTTAATTTAATATAGTCGTCATTTATACAAATAAAGTAAAAAAGAAATATTAACTACGATACTTTTTTAACATCCACCGACCGGGCTGGGCCTAAGCCCTTGACCGGTAAAATGACATGACTAATTCATTGAACCCTTACTTGACACTTGATGTAGGGGTCAATCAAATCTATGAATGAAATAAGTCTTAGTTCATTCATGAAAAACCTGATTTGATAAGTGATTAATAAAACTTTTTCATCTATTAATATTATTGAAAATATTTTAATTGTGAGTAGATAATAATACTTACTACTTATACAATCTTCATTTTTATAGTCTCTCTTGATGTAATGTTATTTATTGTATTAGAGTTAAGTACTATAGGTACCTCAGTGAAATACTACCATATTGGTACAAAGAGTGTGAGTAGCCACACTTAATTTTGATCAATTTGAATCATAGTGATGCTAAAACCAATGTATCGACTGTTTGAAGTAAATCTTCAAGTTTTATGGCAATAGGGCTCGTGCAGCGTGCTCGTGCAGTGATATGGCTTGGCTTCGTCGATCGTCTTCTTGGTCGATTCACGGACAATTCCAGCTACGAAAAACAGTTCATGCGAGTAACTCGCGAAGAAGAGTACTTAGAAAGGTAATGGTTATAATATTGTTGGAAAATTCTGTTTTAAGGATTAATGCCATCAAAAGGATGTGAAGAAAGAAAAGATTTACAGCGGTTACGAACTGCATCTATTAAGCGGCCTGCGTCCATTATTATAATAAAATTGATAACAAAAAAGTTACGCTCCGAAGTCGCAATCAACCTCTGGCGACTGATCGCTGCAACTGGTCAGTCATCAGTCGCGGGCATGCTGCACTGTAAACAGTCTATCAAGTTACCGAGAGTCGGTGCGACCGAAGTCGGGCGACATCCAGTCCTTACGTGGCAAACATGGATAACGATGTTTTCGTTGTGTGTGTCGTGTTAAATGTTGAGGTTTATCTTATTTAAAGGACACGTCATTACAAAAATATGGTGAGAAAATGTATTTTCATTTTAAAATGTTGTTTGTTTTTAATGTGTAACATTTTTACTTCACGCTTGCCTTCAATCTGTAGGAGCTGGGAAAGCGAGCTCGACTTGCTTTGATAATCCCAGTTATTAAGTTTCTATTTTCTATAAGAATCTAGTAGGACGTACCTACATTTCTAGACTTACACAATATGCACTAGTTTCAATCGACAAAAGATTTTTGCTTGATATGAGATCAACTGTAATTCTCGATAACAGGAATATTGTTAAAGGACATCCCTAGACAAATTTTTTGCCGGCCAACTCAACATTCAACAAAGCGTATGCCAGAACAGAACTGCCAGGACCGTTGTTTGTAGCACAGAGTACTTTTGGTTTGTAGTCGCTAAAAACTACAAGGTTTGAAGCTAATCAAAATAATAATCAAAGAAATGGCGAACAGCAATAGTAGAAAACTGCTTAAATATGTTACAGAACTTAGCGGTATAAAATCAAGAAACTGTAAGTACAAATCAAACCTACATTTTATACCGAGAAGTTTTTGGTTAGGTAACTTTTATTTTTAATTAACGTCTCGATGAAATAATGCAATAAACTTCAAAGTACGATAGAATATAGTCTATTTTAATTCATAATTGTTTTGTTTTAATTGTCGTAAGCCATATGAATTTACAGGGCATAGAACTCGGCATGTTGGTTGATCTATTGTTGTTCGAGTGGGCTCGTAATTCAAATAAATTGAAAACAATTAGAAGTTTGTCTGTTTATAAATGGTTTGGTGAATATTTTTATGTCTGATAATTAAATGCATAGAAGTATTTATTCTTTTTTAACACGATCGTTAATTTATGAAAATGTATGTAAAATGTATTTATTATGAATCTCACTCTGCAATACTAACATAAGGTAAACTAAACATGATAGGTTAGTTTGGTGTTTGTTATTTGTTAATATAATAAAATCCCAAATTTTAATAGGTACTATAAATTAAACACCTTAAATCAAACACTACAGTTATATTTCTGCATATTACAATTTATTTTTATGTGTCATTGTAATATCTTCCTCATAGATGGAACTGCTAAGAGAGTTGTGGCTAAGAACCCTGTTGTGGAAATGGATGGAGATGAGATGACTCGAATCATCTGGTCTATGATCAAAGAGAAGCTTATATTTCCTTATGTTAAGGTAAATATTTATAAATATGCTTGTGTTTTATCAATGATGAACTATAAAAAATTATTCAAATACACCTGAAGAAATATTATAAGTTTAAAAGCCTTTTTTTATGAATGTAGGTTTTTCAATGCTACAAGAATCATTTCACAGTAACTTGTATCCAATAAGAGTAATAAAGCTCCTCCAAATGAATTTATAAATGTTTGAAATCTTTAAACCATTAATACAAGCCTACAACAATGTTGTAGTCCTGAATTGAATTAATCATTGTTTTTTTTTAAGCTGAGGTGTATTCATCTATAATATGTATGTATTTACAAAAAAACAGTATCTATGTGTTCTATCAGTCACTAGCTTGCATAGTGACTGATAGAATGTGTGACAGATATTCTTAATATTATTATTATTTTTGTAGAATGTTCTCAATTTGTTTCTAATCTGGTAAGACTAGTCTATAATATAATCTTTAAGAATTCTAACACTTTTTGAACTATCGCTTGGAACGATAACTTCTGTCTAAAATGGTTCCAAAAGAATAAAAAAAAAATTTAATAAAATAAAACTTTTTGTGTAACATTAACAACTACTTTTCGTTTTGTGGGAGTTCATGATAAAACTGAAAAGAAAAAGAAGAAAAAAAAAGCTATTTAGTGGTTTCCAGTTTAAAAAAAATGTTTTGTTAATCTATTTAGCTTTGATAATGATGTCCGTGAAAATAAGTATGCAGTTTTACTTCGCATAAATCATATAAGTGATGCTGCTATCTAAAAAATTGCATGTTATAGTTAATGCTGTTTTTCGAGAGGAACCCTCCACATGATATTTACCTCACTGGATTTAACAGTGAAGTGGTATGTTAATATCAAACTAACTAAAACCACATCTCTTCTGGTTAACAGAGACCTAGCACGTCGCGAAACTGGTCTAGGTATTCTACTACTAGGGTAACTGACAGCCACATTACCCCAAGGGCGATTTAGCCCGAAGATTTGCACTATCCGGGTTTTACTCACACTTTCGCATCCGACCACTGACAAAAAATAATTATCAGCATCAGCAAACAATCGATGCTAATTTTTAATGCCGTCAGTATTCAAGTCGTAATGTGTTCGTTATCGCGTAGTTGTCTGAGCTTTTCTTTAAAATTTAACCACTCATAGACAACTGAACAAAAAAAAATAACTCTTCCTTTGCATTTGGCTAAAAAAGCTGTCATTTGTTCGATTGTTTAACAACATAAATTGATTGGACGTTAGTGGTATATTGTGTGACGTGCATGCGTAGTGCACATGTAAAACTGAGTTTGTTTGCTTGTGTATTAATGCCTACCACGCCTAAACCACTAAACCAATTTTAAAAATTCTTTCACTAATGGAAAGGCATATTATCAGCGAGCTTCAAATGGTACTTTTTACCGCGATAATTTACATACTCGTACAGGCGGGGGAGCATCAGCATCCGCTGATATTAATCTGCAAAAATCAGCATCGCTGATACAGTAAATACCTGAATCAGCACCCTGCCTGGTCGATAGTTGAAATGCTACATTGGTTTAGTTTTTATTTGAGTTGATTTGAAGAATACTGTTATATACCTACCTAGTCATTAAATTTTTGTTATTGTATTAACGTAACAGTTTATTATCTTATTTTAGGTAATAATTACTATTTCTTTTGGTTTGTAAATGTGGCATATTATTGACATAGAAGTGTACCGTTTACTAATGTCAATAATATATATTTAAAAAAAACCTCACGTTATTAACAATTGTAAAGTATATGATGAATATGCAATAATCAAATGCAGGTTATCAGGTATTAGTTCTGCTAACTTCTTATCTCATTTCATTACTGTGTCAATGTTACCATTTGCAACTATCATCAACATTTATTAACATAAATGGTTTGTAAACACTTTCTTATCTTTAAAACTGTATACACTAATTTGATAATTCGGTATATATTTGTTACGCAATGTCAACTAATGCTAAAATACATGCAGAAATAAGATTGTTAAATACACGTTTTATAAAGGTCTAACTCTAAAATAGCTCATAATCTACTGATCTTTATCGGCTGAGAGTGATATAACTCTCTCTCGGATGATGTGTAAGCATCGAAATCATCCTAGATTCGTCTCCAGCGTAAATTTCACGAAAAACTGTCCAGCTAATTCAGCTAGTAAAGTTTAGGTAGATTAACTCATACGTACATGACACTCGCAAAAATTCAAATAAACAAAATTACTAGCATTTAGAATTAGGATTACATAAATAGGGGTTTGATACTAGTTTGTTCAAAGTTGAAAAGCCGCCGGAACTATGGCAATAAAAGAAATTTAGAAGCTAAGCTAAATACCAACACCTACTTGTGTTACTTGTTGATACTCAATATTGCTTCCATAATGTTAATACATGGGTGATAACAATTCAAGCGGCAACCATTATGGACGGGCGCAGCACAGTTTGTTTGGGAGAGAGGAAGTTAACACAACCATATATACAGTAGAATGTTTTGTTTGTAATTAACATAGTAGGATACAATCATGGTAACTATGTATGTCATGTATTATGACATTATTAATTATTATTGATACTTGTTCATCATTGTTAATCGAGCAACCACCAACAGCCTATAACAGTCCACTGCTGGACATAGGCCTCTGCTTAGAAAGGAGGTTTTGGCCTACTATACCACGCGGGCCAAACGGGTTGGTATAGGGTTTGTTTCAAGTTTTCCTTCTCTTAGCAGTGCTGTCGTCCTGCGTAGTTTGCTCCCTTAGTCGGCTCTTACGACACCCACGGGATGAATAAGGGTGGTGACATTCCTTATTCTTAATCCGTCACCACACGGACATCATTGTTAATAATAATTGTAAATAATAATAATATTAATTTAATAATATGTAATATAATTATTTTAGTAGTCATAAATATATTATATTATTAGAAAAGAAACAAAAGAGGACACTATTATTTCATCCTTCGAAATTTTTCATTCAGACTAATCTGATTATAACAATTATATAATTTATTATTTAAGATTATTTTATTTATCTTCCAATTACTCTTTTACGCTGTAGAAACACTTGCTAATTAGGAAGAGTTTTAATTTATTAACAAAAGTATTAAATTTAGCCTCGTTTTCAATTGGTAATTTATTATAAACTTTTATAGACATGACCAAAAGACCAACGAGGATGCATTGTTAGTCTAGAAGGGGTTAGATTAAAATCTGTTCATGTGTCTAAAGGCAAAGTTTGTTTCTTTGTCTTCCCGTTTACTATACAGTTCAGAGTATTTTCGGACAAATGTACTATAATGACTAGGATCGTACGAACGTCCTGCCGATATGATTAAATGAACAGTGCATTTTGATATTGTTCATAGTCATACACACTGTCACAAAACAGACGAAGTAGAAACAGGCACTTGACGCTCGTTAGCTATGTTAAACTATGCCGTATCGACTGTATCAAATCTTTACAACTATTAAGTGACAATCTTTACAGTTTTACGAGTATACGCCCGTTTTATGTCATTATATTAATTTGGTATATTTTCAATAGCTGGATTGCTTGTACTATGATCTGGGCCTACCACATAGAGACGCCACTGAGGACCAGGTTACTATTGATGCCGCACATGCTATCCTCAAGCACAATGTTGGTATCAAGTGCGCTACCATTACCCCCGATGAACAAAGAGTGGAAGGTACACAATTACTAAATACTAAAGTCTATTTTTAAATAATAACCATGTGCTCGTTTGCTAAGTTGTATGTATCCTATCTTACTCTTTATTTAAAAGTAAATATAATAACCAACTTAAGTATAATAGCTAGCTCATTGACCGCCCATAGTGCTCTCTGTGGTCTTTGTAACTTTAAATAAAATAACAGAACTTACTTTTTAAATGTATTCAATAGTATAAAACAAACTTTCTATTACCAATAGGCATTTAGGTTAAGTTATAAACTAAATTAAAAACACTATTAGAAGGAACTGTTTTTTTCTAGAGTTCAAGTTGAAAAAAATGTGGTTGAGTCCGAATGGAACAATTCGTAACATTCTTGGCGGTACAGTATTCCGTGAGCCAATTTTGTGTCAAAGCATTCCCCGTGTAGTACCTGGCTGGACCAAAGCCATCGTGATTGGTCGTCATGCGCACGGTGATCAGTATAAAGCACAAGATATGGTTATATCCAAACCTGGAAAGGTAAGCCATTTCATGTAAATAATGTATATAATTCATGTACCTAAAAGATAATATGCATGGGTGAGCTTTTGTTCGAGAGACTGTTCGAACAGGTGAATATGTCATGGTGATTTATTATAACATTTTGAATGTGTATTTTTGGACCAAATAAAACAAAAAGATAGACGGTAACCTATACATTTTCTTCATCCAAAGCATTTACCACGTTCCGTGATAGGAGTTGAGAGCAGGGTTTATTAACCGCATTTAAACATAAGATAAATGCAGTCAGATAATATGGGTAAAAGGTTGTTTTGAAACGTAATTTAACAATTAAAGATTTTGAATTGTGTGCAAAAAATATATAAAAAATAATTAGAAATATCGTTGTGTTTTTGTTGTATTACCGAGCACGAACTACCGATCATGAAACTAATACAAAATGTATTAGTTTCGTCTCTCAAAGCTACAGTTTAGGATAATGCCCTTTAGATAGATAAATAATATGAATCAATGCCAAAGAAAACTATAATATAATATATGATGGTCATGCGATATTTTTTGACAATGGTGTTTATTTTTATGGAATTAGATAGAAATGGTGTACACAGCAGAAGATGGTACAGTAGAAAAGCGCCAGTTATATAACTTCAAAGGACCCGGCGTTGCCATGGGCATGTACAACACAGATGAGTCCATTAGCGCCTTTGCTCACTCTAGTTTTCAGGTTTGTACCAGCTTTTGTTTATATAACTAATATTATAAACACAGTATCTTTATGAGTAGACACTCCCATTATTATCAGAGACAATGCCAAATAATATTTGCTTTTAATCGAATAAAAAGTTAATAAAGCTACAATATAATATACGTATGACGCACTCACTAACAGCCTGGCTATCGCTGTTTATAGCGTTGGCCGTTGCAACCTTGGCGATTGTTTGAATTCTTTTGACAGTTAAGTTATGCGTACATTTTTATAGTGAATTTTTATTTTCAGTAGAGTGACAACTGAAATATATAATAGGTTTATTTAGACATTTTAAATTGAACAATGTTAAACTTTTCGTTCATGCAATTTGTGCTTTGATACGTGGTTCGACCAGTAGCAGAAATGCTTGTCTATGCCTACCCAAACCGAATCAGCAATTGATATCTAACGTGCTTAATTAGCACATACGATTCAAGTGATCCAATTAAACGAACGGTTTATCTAAGTATGACCTATAAAATGATACATTATCGAGCTTGTAGTATAATTGTATTATCTTTACTCAGGTGGCGTTACAAAAAAAATGGCCGTTGTATTTGTCTACCAAAAACACTATTCTTAAGCGATATGATGGCCGCTTCAAAGACATCTTTGAAGAAGTATATCAAAGGTATGTGAAGCTTAGATTTTTCATACCTACTTTGATTTTAGTACAATATCTACATAATCTTATTTTAAATTAGTTTGTTTTATTATTATTTACTATACTTACCATGCACATGCTTCGATACTAAAGTTTGTATAATAACTATAATTTACCATGAGAGGTCGAATTAAGATAACGCCAGCAATGCAAAAGTTGACATATAAAACACAAATATTTTTAGGAGGAGAATAAATTAAAACAAAGGCATCTTGATATCCGGTTTATAAAGCTACTTTTTGTTATATAAAATAAAAATTTATTCAAAAGCTAACCATAATAATGCAAACTGTTTAAAGTTGGTATACCTACAGCATTAATTAAGATGATCGTGTTCGCACGCTAAAAGCAATCATCTATTTATATGTATATCGTGATAGTGGAAGTGCCATGATTTTGCTCTTGCACGCATGGGTCGGCTCGACCTTAGTGATACCATATGACCCACAGTAAACCGGCGTTAAACAATTCTTTCCATGCGTTTCATCAGCTGAGTGAGGCTACCGGAAGCCCAATGCACCCGGAGTGTGGGGCTAATTACTAACATAATAAATAAAATAAAATAAAAATATGTTTGTGTTTAAATAAAATAAAAATATGTACTAGCTTTTCTGACATCGTCAGTCATTTAAGAATTAGAAGGATACCATATATCATAGAAATAGAATAGGGAGAGGAGAAAATACATTTTATATATGTTCCCTACTAGCGATTATAAGAAGCAGTTCGAGGACGCCAAGATCTGGTATGAACACCGGCTGATCGACGACATGGTGGCGCAAGTCATCAAGGGCTCAGGCGGTTTCGTATGGGCGTGTAAGAACTACGACGGTGATGTGCAGTCGGACGTTGTAGCTCAGGTCAGTTAATATATATATATTATGTATTTCTAAGACACTGTTCAGTGTAATATTGATATTGAACACATGTGACATGAGAGAGCATATCATCATTATTTTGAAACATTATGAGAACAATAGTGCATTGCAACAAGTCACCGTGAACAGTATTCTACCTTTTGCATATTTGTTGGTTAATAACTAGATATAGAAAGATTACTAAATGATGTTCAATATAATAACAGTTATGTTAATAATAAATGGCGTTGTCTACAAAATTTAAACCGCAAACGAAGAACTGAGATTGAATTGCTTGTGACGTAAAACATGTAAAAAGTTCGTAAAAAGTATAGTTTTTACGAACTTTAAGATTCATTTTAAAAAATGCAAAGAAACATAAATTTCAATCTATCTTATGCCTGTAATGGTGATTTGGTAAGCAATCGGTGTATTTGATCTATTGATGCTGTACAGGGCTATGGTTCTTTGGGAATGATGACATCAGTGCTAATGTGTCCGGACGGGCGAACTGTGGAGTCTGAGGCAGCACACGGCACAGTTACGCGTCACTATCGGATGCATCAACAAGGCAAGCCCACATCCACCAACCCCGTGGCATCCATCTACGCGTGGACGAGGGGACTCGCACATCGGGCCCACTTGGACGGTACGCCGGAGTTAGAAAGATTCGCACTGTCCCTTGAAAATGTAAGAAATCACTTACCTATTTTATATATAATATATGTATTGTATATAAAACATCTAACGAATATGACGTATAAATGAAAATCTATATGGTGAAGTATTTTTGATTGCCGTTTATAGGAATTAACAAATGTATGTCCATACTTCCACACTGGTACTATCCGTTGGTAGCGTTAATATTTAAGCAGTTCTTAATAAAGTAATTATTAAAAATGTAAAGTAATTAAATAAACAAATGTGTAATCAAATAATTAAGAAAAAAATATTTTTATCACAATCACATATCTCCACATTAACGAGATCGCTGTTTAATAACAGCAATATTTCGGTGTGTTTCACCACCTACTGATAAAAATGATAAAATATGAAACTGTTCAAAATAATAAGTATTGATACCTAACAAGGGCACTTTAACTACATGCAAAATGTAAGATTTGAGTTAAGTATCACACTTATCGTATTTGAGTCTCGGTGTAAGTACAGTCAGTGTTCTTAACAGATACCGCAGACCTCTAACACCGCTAATTGTCACTACTTGAAATGTGGTTTTTATCCCAAATTTATGACTATATTTCTGCGATATTAATCAGCATGAATTTTTTAAACTTCCCAAGACACCTACTTGTTTTGTTTGATTACCCATTCCAATTAAAACTATTTCACAAGAGTAGATACAACAACTTCATCTTACGTAGTCAGGTTTTGGAATTTCGCTCTGAAAGTAAAGTTCATTGTACCTCCTCATTAAAGTGTGTAATAAAATAGCAGTTGATCGCTTCTGCGGTAAAAGGCTGGGAAACAAGTAAAGCTTGTTTTGAAGTTGGGTCAATGGCACTTAACGCCACCTGAGTTATTACTTCGCGGCCAGCTTTAAATTTTTTAAATGTTTACTGTAACTCGTTTTTTCAATGGTTTTAAAACCATAAGATTTATTCAAGTTAATAATAAAATGATTTTATTTTTAAACAATGCGTGGTCAATAGGTCAGTTGATGACGAAGAAACAGGTATATATGTGACCCCGCCCTCTTCAGCATCTGTAGTCCCTATTCGTGGCTCCCTTTCCATTTCCTTACTCCAATTTAGGCACCCGATTTCTTTGACGCTTCTGAAAAAGGAGGGTTGGCGTCAAGCAGATCAAGAAACAAGCCGAAACCTTTTGTAATGTTACGCGTTTCACCGACCCCAACAAAATTTGTAAAAAGGGCAGGAATATGATCAATTTAAATTTGTCCAATACATTTCATCCACTTGTTCATGACCCCATGATAAACTGGAAAAAAGCATGCAGTGAGACGATAATAATCTCCATTCAGTTCTTGTTTATTTAGGTGTTAATTTTCAGTCACTTCTTTAAAAATGATTTTAATGCTAACAAAAACTGGCAAGAATGATAACTACTTCACTACGAGTAGTTACATTAACATTTGACTAAACGAAACCGGTTTGACACGCTTTTGAACCAAGAAATCTAAAATAGGTAACATAAATGCAAATTAAATAAACATGAATATTTTTAGTGTTAATTTGGGTAAAAATATACTTGTAAGATAATATTATTCTTATTATGACTGTAATAACAAGGCATGTCTTGCTTTTATAAACTATGTTATTATCATGTGCCATTTATATCAATTGACGAGACCAATTAAATTTTATTTACAGGCATGCGTCGAGTGCATTGACAGTGGGAAAATGACAAAAGACTTGGTGATTTGTATTCATGGATTGGCAAACACTAAAGAAGGCATGTACTTACACACTGAAGATTTCCTTCAAGCCATTGCTGACCAACTTGAATACAAACTAAAAGCTTAAACTAAAATATAGGATAATTGCCTTAGTCAAAATTATCTAAATTTCTATCAACGCCATTAATTTTGATCAGTAGATAAATGACTTTACTGTTGATTTAAATATACCTATTTCTAAAAATGATTTTATTTTGTAATTGTTCTTTTTTTACAATTTTTATTTTAAAATGTATATGCACCATGTAAATACATTTTTTAAACTGTTTCTATATAGTCTTCAGTTTTGTTTTATATTTTTAATGATGATGTCTAAAGTTACCAATATTTACAATGCAGTACTGAAACTTTGTTATAGGTACTTTATACATTAGTCATTATGAAATCATTTCACAAGATTAGGAGAGGTGCTTTACGTGAGACAGGAGATATGTATCACAAATCAATAATGTTGAGACTGATAAAGGGCAATCTTGTTATTAAAGGTATTTGATATTTAGAGTGATCTACCCAACCAGCGAATTTTCGATATTTAAGAAGTCTTTATAATGCAGCACTCTTAAATATATTTTATGCAATATAAAAATGCATGTATATATATATATATATATATATATATATCAAGCCCAATTATTAGATTGATTGTCTAATTTAAGGTATTATATTTTAAGAATTGTTTTTAATTTTCATCTACTAATTGGCTGCAGTGGTTCTCTAATTCCACTATTAATAAAATTTCATTATGTAATAATCACATCCTTAAATAAATTGCTATTTATGAATGTACCTAATATAGTTTGAAACTGCATGAGATTGTTAGATAGAAGATATGAAGTAGGCTCCAGGATATGTATATACACTTTTTGAGATATATGTATTTGTTAAATAAAGTAAGTCATTTATATGCACTTGTTTTACTCAAAACTATGTAGTTACAAAAGTCCTTACAAAAGAATATTTACAAATGCAGTGTTTGTATTTTAAAACACTCATTGAGTTTGTACTGCTGCTACTGCGTATTATTACAGAATGGGTTGCCTTACCCGTGAAGGAACGTTTTTCTCTAAATTAGGTTGATTTGTATAATCTGTGTATGTATAATCCCGGTAATCTCAGACGGTAAAAATCAACGAAAGAATTGCTTAACCCGTTCTCTGTGAGGCTGTGGTATCACTCCGGCGTCTCCGACGGTAATAGGTACAAATAAGAAAAATAATGTAGGTAATATTAGAGATTCAAATATTTTATTTGCTTGGTCCATAATTATATTAATGTACACAAACTTGAAATAATATAAATTTTGTTAACATTTGCTACGAGATTAATTTCATCTTGTGATCTTTAACAACATCATACTTTACAAGTGTACTATATTTTTTCAATATTCTTCTCCAATAACATTTTACATCCTTGTCAGTTAAATGATCCCATATATGCTGGAAGCCCCGATTTGCAATTTCAGATGCTAGCTGATCATTTTCTTTAAAAAATATGAGGAGTTGTTTGATATCATCTTCTGTCGCTTTTACACTAATGGGTACGTAATGTACCCATGGTTTCAAAGAAGGGTAGAAAAATTCTAGCCATTGGTCACCAACATGAAAAACTAATGATTTACATAGAAACAAATGTTTAAATCGAAAACTGGCAGCTACTCCTCTGTAGTCGAATAGATACTTGAATTTACAGTGTTCTTCAAATGGTACTTCTGGAGCTGGCTCGGCATAAAGGGTGTCCTGAAATGCATATAAAAGCTTACTAATTCAGCAAGCTAAAGGTCATAAAAATATATTTTTATATTGTACTTGATTAATGTAAAACGGACAAATTACTACATAATTGTTGTTAACCTCCAACTAAAAAGCTAGAAGGGGCGTTATCATAATTGCCAATGTGCGCAATGACATGTTCGAAGTCCACTTATTAGAACATGAGTAAACAATCCATTTATCTCTAGTTAACGAGAATACCAATGCTATGCGATGGTGATCGTTGTTCAAAATCTAAAATTTAAAAAAAAGCTAGAGGTTCGACAAGTTTCTTTTTAAATGCGTATAGGTATTTGAGCACGTATTTCACTAAAACATTTTTTATTGAACTAGTTGCACTCAAACTTTCAATAAGCAACTGGTATTTGGAAATTAAGGTATGAAGGTTTATTTCAAATTATTATTATTTAGGTACATTGAAACCGGTGATACATTTCTTGTAGGTAGTTAATACTATACAAAAAAATTACCAGCAAGCAAACGGTCAGCGTGATCGTGAGTGGTGAAATCTAAAATCAATTGTAACTTCAATGTAGGTATTTTTTATACATTATATTAAATACGATTACCATGTCTGATTTCCAGGCTTGATTTTTTGTGTACTGGGCATCAACTAGGTGAGGTTCAGATCGTGAAAGTAATACCAACGTATCTCTTTCTTCACTTGTGCGCGAACCTCGAAAAAATCCTTTGTCTTGTTTTGCCTCCCATGGCCACCTGACATTGTAACAATTTAAATATTTTGTTAAATTAATGTTTGAACGTCTTTTCAGTATTTGACTTAAGAATTTTACACTCTTAATGTAAGAATCAGTTAACCGGTTGTTGTGGTGAGCCTTGGGGGAGACTTGTGTCCAGCAGTGGACGTCTTTCGGCTTAGATGATGATGATGAATGTTTATTACTTACTTTTCAGCTGCAATAGAAATCGATATTCTGTGTTTATCCCATCTGCCTATACCTGTTGGATAAAGAGATATTGCAGGGCCCCCTTCCCAAAAACTCCATGCAGGATACATTATATCGTAATAATCTTTTGTCTGTAAAAAAATAAACAAATGTATATCTATTATTTGACAAAAATGAATTTATATCAAATGTGCAGTTCAACACTTCATTCTAAATAATATGTATGTGTTTGTTACGCTTTATGCCGTAACTTTTTAACCGTTTTTCAGGTGCACCTGTTAGTGAAAAAGACACATGATACCTATCAGTCTTTAGTTTGAACTGTGCTTGTCTTACTAGACAAGCACAGTTCAAACTGAAAACAAAAACAGTAGTAATAATACTTTCTTACTACTGTTTTTGTTGCAAAAGACCAAAGAAAACTGCCCCCATTACATTTGACCACCTGGATATATAGTGACACAAGGCACTTCTTATTTGATAAAATAATAAAATTAAGTTAAAAGTATGCAGTACTGAATAAACTTTCTTTATGGCTGCTTGTACTTGAACTGCAAAATACAGAACTTTAACAAGTTCTTAGTAAGTTAGCTCTTTAAATATAGACAGTGGAACATAGAACCTCCTTTTTTGAAGTCGGTTAAAAACGTAACGTAAAGTAAAACTACGAAACGCAAATGCAGGACACTTTAACCAAACATAGTTGGCACTGTACCCACATTAAGTTATGTAACAAGTGTATGAAGGTATGTAACAAGCAAAATTAGTGTGTAACTCAACTATAATATCTACCTAAAACTGATTTTTATAGTAGCACTATAAAGACCATGACATTTAAAGGTCACATGTACTTATAATTGTTGCATTGTATATTATATTTTTCTTCAGGTTAATTCTTATTGTTTTCTATAACTGTATATGTGTGTGATAGTTGCTTAACAAAATGTTGGCTTCAACTAGGTTAATTTGAGTTAACCAATACAAGTAGTAGCATAACTAAATCTAGATGATTCTATAAATATTTTTTGTGCTAACTCCAGGACCTTACTGAAAGAGAATACTGGAGCTTTTGGATGACCCCATAGTTTATTAACTTGTGGCCAATCTCTAGTATTAATTGCTATTTCTAAGTTTGGCATTTTAGGAGCCAAAGCAGTCAAGTAGTGTTCCACTCCAGCACACCTAGCCGGGAAATGGCAGTCAATCTCTCTGTATAATTTGCCATTTATTATCTGAAACAAATTAATTATATTACGTTGAATATAAAGAGTTGAAATGAATTAGTTACTAGCAAAATTGTAACATTATGGGGTGGAGGGCCTATTGCCCTCACCTGGTTGAGGGTCTATTGGAATTAAAGATAGGAAAATTAGAAGTATATTGAACTTGAAAGAAGTCAAGTTTGTTTGAATTCGGGAGTAATGCCCATTTCTATTGTGTGTACATGCTTGGTAAGCCTCTATAAGTGTCCACAAATACAAGCGTGTAAACCGGGTGATTGGCTCAGCTTGCACGAGCTTGTCATCGATTGGGGCTAGTGTCGGTTTTTGAACACACATCAAAGGAAGGCGGCAAGCGTTTGGGACTGGGACACTGAGCAGTATGGCTAGAGGATTTATTTTTTAGTATAGTGCCGCTATTTGTATTTGGAATAAAAATATGTCCACGTCTCCTGAACTTTCTATTATAATTTTGTTAATTTGGAGTATACGATTTTGGCGAGGATCATGAGCCATGACCTGTACGATCTCTACTTGAGACTGCGCCTCATGTAACTAAACCTCACCTGATATTTAGTTCCTTTAGATACAGCTGTATCAAATAGCTCTTTGGTGATACCATCTTGGAATGGCAGTAGGTCCAAGTCAATTATCGATTTATGACAACTACAGTTAGCAGTTTTACATGGTACATATTGTTCTAAGGCGGAATTTATGTTCTGTTTAAGTTTTTGTGCCCATTCATTGACTTCTGAAAGAAAAATAACATACATTTGTCTAGCGCATTTAAGGACAACTGATAATATACAGAATAAGCTTTATTTTTTATGGTTTACTGTTGTTTTGCTAAATGCTTCATCTAGAAATTAACCTCTGTCGTATTTGTTCTTGGTTTCATTTTCAGTGCAAGTTTCAAACTTGTTGCAGGTTTCTGTATTTGAACTAACGCGACTAATTATACTTAAGCAAAATAACAACAAATGACTATTCATTATTATTCTAACTCGAAGAATTTAAAATTCAAAATCGAAGTTTATTCTTGTAAACAAAAGACAACAGTGACTTCTAGTGGTGTGACGACTCGACTTTTCAAAGCGGTTTGAGCATGAACCGAGTTGAATCGGTTTACCCGTGGTTTAAACCAGTTGAGCCATTTCATAAGATCGCGCGCACTTCACGTCGTACCATTGCGCTCGCAGCTCCTGCTTTTGCTGACCGAACAAAACTGATTTATCTACCAACTGATTCTGAACCGAGTCGACGCGACACGGCACTAAATCTTTATCAATTTACCTACAAGCACAAACTATATTATTATGTTCCTGCAAAATCGGATACGGTTAGCGCGCGTCGTTTAACAATAATTTAAAAAAATAAACCGATTTACTAACCGTTCGGTTCTAACGGACATATTTTTCGTATATCTACCAAATACTGTATTTATTTAAATTAGTCGAGTCACCATTGTGTCAATGCTCAACACCTAACTCTAACTGTGAACAATCTGCCCATCATATCCTTTCCGAATGTAGTCTTTGGTATAATGAACGTAATATGATCCTGAATAGCTTGCATGTGACATCTGGGGCGATATATTATGGAGATCTTGTGTCAACTAGGGTAAATTTCCTTGCGTTCAAGCGATTCTGTATTACATATTATAGAAATCAAATATAGCTCATTAAGACCCATAATATTTTGTGGCCGTGGTGCTTCCCTGTTTAAAAAGGTGTATGCCTATTTTACTTCATTTTGTCTCCCGCTTTGCTAAGGAGGGAAGTGGATTTACTGTATTTCCAACTCCTCCAATTTTCTTCTGATTAATTTTGTTGTGGGTTCCAAGACAGTTTAATTTTTTTCCTGGAACTTACCGAGTGTCATAACTCGGTGTGTTCGTGGGTCACTGCTGTTGATCCTGGTGTACAGGAGTTACAGTGGTAACTACTAAATGATAAAAAAAAGAAAGCACGGTAAACGTGAATCTTGACTGGGTAGTTTGTTCTAATGCCCTTAGCTCTCAACAAACCGCCAATCAATTCATATCGTCACCGCGTCGGTCGTCGGTTAGTGTATGTTATGTCAAGTTTTACACATGTATGTAAACTCGGTTGCAAACCGTAAAACGACGCTTTAATTGAACCCGTCGGATCATGTTGCACATTGCTTTCGTATGTTACATTCGCTGGTCAACTCATCATACGATTTACTGCGGTTTCAACTGTTCGGTTTGGAACCGATTCAATTCGGTTTGACAATATTCCAGACCGCCACATCTTTAGTGACAACACTCATTTGTATTCGTGTAAGCATGGGCAAGAAATGCCATGCATACATCGATATTTCTTTCTAAAAATATCGAAACAATAAAAAGCATATTATATAATTTGTTTGTAACTACCATCAAACAAGAAAATATCAATGCGTGTTTTAAAATAAAAATATACTGAAAAAGAAACATAAATCATTCACTATCGTATGAAGAAGTTTCTTCGTTCGATGAACTGCCTGAGAACGATATATTAAAATTATATATATAATTTTGACTGATGAGTCATCAGTCTCAATATAGGGAGAATAGAATAAAATAACAGTTATTGATTTCAGTATTACAGCAATTCGAGGTCTCGACCTCCTTACTGATTTGCCTGTAGTTGTTGTTATTTTCCGAAACTTAGCAATAGCCGGGTCAGATGTAAGCAAGAGTGACATCATGATGTCCTTGTTGGTAGTCAATCGTGAAGTTTTTCAAGTGTGATTTTCACGTTTACGTCTAAAATCTTAGTACCTGCACTCCAAACCCTTTTCTGATAAATTGCCGATGCATCAGCAATGATACAGGGCCATGAATTAGTATTTTATGCAAGTTTACAGGCATATAATACCAAATATAATTTTCAGGATATTTTTTTAGTTGCAGTTACAAGTGTAGTAAACTGATCTATTTTGATTCTTTTACTACTTGCAATTACTTTTAATATTATAGACAAATTGGAAATTAAACCACTGTTAACTTTAGTTATAGATTCACTTAGTAAACAATAATAAACGTTCAGGCCGTTCCCGGGCCTGGCGGGCTGGGAGAGTTCTAAACCTCTCCCGGTCCCGCTCCGCCATCTCCTTCGCAAGCATACCTTGCTCGCAGATGGAGACGGCGGAGTTCCACGCACTCTCGCTCCGTACCATGACGACAATCATACTACCGAGCGAGAGGACTCCCACTCCGATGGCCACCACGAGGTCACGCCTCTGCTTCACCCACGCCAGGCATTGAATAACTTTATGAAGGTCGTGTTTTATATTTTTAATTATATATATAATATTAGACGTGCTTTTGACTAAGAGAGTCAGGGAAAACTAGCAAATGTACCATAAAATTGATGTCTAAATTTTCTATAAACTCATGAATTTCGGTCAAAAGTTTCTATAATTATAGGTTTAATTTCAAATAAATTCATTTTGATCGATTAAGAATTTTGACTACTGTAACCGTGTGGTGACGGATTAAGAATACAGAGTGTTACCACCGTTATTCATGCCATGGGTGTCGTAAGGCTTAGGGAGCAAACTACGCAGGACAACAGCACAGCAGACGGAAAACCTATATTTAAACCTAAACAATCCCTATACCAACGAGTCTGGCTAGCGTGGTATAGTTCCTTTCTGAGCCTATGTCCAGCAGTGGACTATGAAAGGTTGTTGATGATAATGCTAAAAAGGATGAACCACTCGATAAAGATCGGTATGTACCTATTTTGTACTTGCCCATCGCTAAACTAAGGTAAGTCCGGTATTGACATCCCAAATTCCAAATAATATGTAAAAAATATAAATATACCTTAGCACAAAGTGAAGAACAGGTTTAGCAGAACGCTCTCTTTTTATTTTAAAACTTTAGATTTCTCATAGAAGGAAGATTACTGTGCAGCCTATTTGTAATTAATACAGGTAACTGTGTGTGCTTTTTCTCTGCCTCTCTCACTTTACCTTTTACCTTCTTTGTCGGAAGTCAAACTCCTCCTGACAAAAATTCCTTGACGGAAGCCAAAGTCTTGACAGAGCTAAAAGCGTCTACCTAAGCAGAATTCGAAGAATGACAAAGTCCTACTAAAACTTGTATGTCATGTCATGTCTCCTAATTTCGTTTTCTTTTAAAGTTAAGGATCACTTACCATCAGGAGTCAACTGATGGTAAGTGACTACCGCTGCCCATGGACACCTTAAGAGTGACAAGTACGTTGGCGCCCTTTGACTCCCCCTCCTACAATCAAGGGTAGATCAACCGGTGAAAAATCATTCGGTGAAAAACAACGAAGAAATGCTTAACACCAGTTTTCCGTGGTATTACTCAGGTTAGCCCATTTGAGCCGAAGCATGCTTCTCCCACGGTCGATTTAATATTAAAATAAAGTTGATAAAGCATTTTATTACCTAGTTGCATACCGTTAGGTTTGGTTTACAATTTACCGAAATTTTATTCAATAGGGTTTCTATTATCAACTAGCAACAACATTACCGACGTAAATTATGGACAGAAGTTCCCCCAAATACTTAGTTTCAGGTATTAACATTCCCATAAATTGTAGAGAAATTAGACAAAAAATGCAAAAAAGAAATTGACACGTAAATTCTATAAAAACATAAAAGAACTTTGTTTCGTGTGGCGTGTTTGCCAAATAAAACAGCAAATAAATATAACAAGTAGGTATACAGAGGCAGATTACCCCTAAAGCAAACCAGGCATGTGCCTAGAATTTTGAAACAAAGGAAAAATGAGAATGGCAATATACGGTGCGCCGGTGAGCGGAAGCTCTGTACGCCCAGAATAGGGCGCGCTTTTGGTATTGACGGTTTGAGCCATACGCAGTTGCCCCACCGTGTCGATTCGGTGTGCGCATTGGTAGGCTCCCGCTCGACGAGATACGTGAGTGGCGTAAGTTCGCTCGTCGAGGTACAATGACTCCTTGATCATCCCGGCTGGAGGCTCTACGTGTTGCCTATATTCTCGAGTTATAAAATAAAATCAATGCAAGTAGACTGATTATTTACTTTCTGCATTTACTGCCTTCAGAGCGAGAGAGATAACGACTAACGGTTTTTCTCGTGAAATCCCTCCTCTCGCCTAAGGAACTTCGTTCCAAAAAATTGCACAGAAATGAGAAATTGAAATTTTGGAGTAAATCCTACCAGACGTTTAGTTAAGTCAACAGACTTTAGTCAACTATAGTCCATCAACGTCGTGCACGACCGTCCTGCGGGGTGACAGACAGTGGCGGGGACGAGGTACTCAAGATTTCAGCGGGTAGTGGGTGGTGTAGCGGGGAAGGGAAACGCTTCTCTTGGTGTGTAGCCGTGAGCTAGAATGACGCGCTACCCGCCACTGTCTGTCACCCCCCGAGATTGCCGGGTTATAGTAAATATTTATGAGCTAAGCTGGTATAGGCGATAGAAAGGCGCAGGAGGCGCCCTAATCCCACAAAAATCCTAATGACTATAGTGACTTTGTTGTAATCAAACCCAGTTAAACTGCATGATGTCTCCTCGTCAGTTATAATGTGACTAGTTAGTAATCGTGGAGATACTAAATCTTCAACATTACTCAACGTCATAGTAAAATAACAGTATGTGGGAGGTGTGAAATGAAATTTATTATTTGTATATATTTTTACAGAAGTTAAACAAAGTACAGAGGTTAAACACAGTTTGTTTTTATAATCTTAAACACATTTATAGAGAAAGAAGAAACATCCATATTTAGTTAAAGAAATTACGAAAAGTTTTACAGAGCAATGAGTGTGAAGTATTCAAGTACTTAAGCTTTTAAGAGATATAGATAAGTTTTAAAGTGAAATGGAACTTAAAAATTAAACAATATAAAATTATTTGCATATGGTTCGATTGCCTAGTTACTTATCAGTCACAAAGTTTAAATTTCTTTTTCAATGACGCCACCATCGTATTCAGAAGAGACATATCAATCCATTTTGATACGGGGTTTTTTGTATATTTTTAAGCAAATTTTGTGAACTGACTATGAAGTTTGGAATACTTGTAATTTGTATATTGTCACGTAGAACGCTTATTTTATTTTTCAATATGTATTTGACAGGTAAGTAGGTAGGTAAAAATATGTGAAGAAGAAATTTTAAAAAGTATGGTCGAAGTTCGACCGCCAGGCTATTGCTAGTCATTACTATAATGTAATGTTAAATGAACAAAAAATACTTATGACAGAAAAAATGAGATATAAACAATTGATTTTTGTTCTAATACGAGTAATGTTGTTTCATAGTGTGATTGGCTATAATTTATTTTTTCTCGTAATTTTAATATAGACTGTCGCAAAGTAAATTCTAATATACATAGTTAAATTAAAAATTTGTGACTGCACATAAATTTTATTTTTTGAGATCTTTATCTGATGTTTTATATGACTTAATAATAGCAATAATAGTAGTAAGTCTAAGTATCTAAAGACAAATTTCAACTAGTAAACATAGACTAAAATGATGATTAAATTCATTTTGGTGTTTTCATCGACAATGTGCACCTTAATTAAACTCCCTGTCGGGGAGTACAGCAGGCGCTACCAGAGTCCAAATGTAAAGACCGACGCATAACCAGGACGATGAAATCTTAATCCACATGGAAGCGACGTTTTCCTTCGAAAGCCGCGAACTCGGACTGTAACAGATACATTTATGTGTTAACGGACAAGTTGAAGTCAACTAAAGTCAAGCTATTCTTATAATTAAAAACAAGTGTTGACAGGTTAGTATGTATTGGTCATAACGGAATGGCAATCTTTTAAGAATGATCACTGAACTAATGAATCAACGAACTAAAAAAGTTACACAATTTACACGGGTTCAATTAACGGAGTAAATTTGAAACTAAAAATTTGGGTGACTAGCTAAGTACTTGATCACTCCATAATAATGAAGACATTTGCAGTCCTCTGAAATAACTTTAATTAATACGTGGTTGACTTGTTAACGTTAATACGTTTTAATGAATTGATCGATAGTTAGAATGTTTCAATAATTGCATGATGAAGTGCTAACATGGGCCTGCTTTCTTGCCTGAAAATGAAAAAAACTATTATTTAAATTTTAAGTGCGGTATTTTTAGAATTTTCTTAATGACGAATAGAAGAATAGAAAGTGAAGGTTTCGTTTCCATTTAATTGAGTAAGTTCCGATAATCTCTCGGTAGGTGTCGTTCTCTGTCCCTTACACAGTGCTATAAAATGTTTGCTACGTTTTAATTTGTTATTTTATTCAGATAAATTTACTGGAACTTCAGCAATGCTTAATGCAACTTTTATATGCCTAATATTGACTTGTGATGCCTTTATTCCGTTAAAATCATGTTCTTTCATTTAAGTGGTTGTTTGTAAATGGAAACTCTTTTTAAGAGTATAAGAGAACATACTCACTTGAACCAATTTGTGAGTGTCATCATGATGTACAGGGTTGCGAGTGCGAACACAACGTGGAAGAAAGTCCAGGAGTAAGCAACGCCGTCGTTCTCGTTGTCAAAGACTTTGGTCTCCTCGCCGCGGCCTGCCTCGCCACCGTCAGCGCCCTCTACGGAATCATACACTATGCTCAGTGAGCATACCGACATGCAACATTAACATTGCTACAGACAGTGGACCGCCTACGGCATTCAACTAAATATAAAAGAAACAGAAAAATATATTAACCAAAATACGTTAGCGGCGTGGATTTTCTGTACAAAAAAGAAATAGTTGTTGGCAAGCATAAAAGTAAGCTGATTGTTAAAAAAAAAGGTAGGTTTATATAGGCAAATTATTACTTTTGCACTTGGGAGCAATTTATGTTAACTATTAATATTGTGAATCATATAATATTATTAGACATGTCACAACATTAATCTACACTATTTTAATGACAGTTTCCGGAATTATTTTAGACCTAGTTCGAGGATTTCGACAACTGAAGAATAAAAAGGCATAAACATACAAGTCAAAGCAAAAATTATTCTAGATTTAAAAATATTTGTGTCATTGACCGATACGCATACAAGCAACTACGTATAACTAAAATGCGTGATAAGCGGATAACATATGGTCGAAAGAAATATTACGCATGAAGGTGTTATTGGATGATAAGGCCAAGTGTACATTGTGGCATTACCTTCGTTAGCAATGAGCCCTCCTTGCCCTTAATTGCGCCGTCGCCGCGTTACGTCCGCAAGGAATGCACAGTATGCATTAGTTACATAAAATGTAAAAAAAACGTGACAGAATTTTATATGAGGCCAGTGTAGAGAGAATAAATACTCAAAGAAATAGAGTAACTTTTAAATAAAATCTCTGTAGTAGTAAAAAAGCAAATAAATGTTATGTGAATCTCCAATGCATTTTGGCGTTCGAGACTTGTGCTATTGTAAAATACAGATCAACAAAAAAAACTTTAGTTTCACACACCAATTATTATAATAATTGGTGTGTGAAACTAAAGTTTGAAACAACAAGATGTTTCTATCATTTTGACTGATAAAACAGACGACAAGATTACTGCAAGGAGTCTTTCGTCAACAAGCAACTAGAGGACACACTGATAACGATATTAACGTTAAAAACATTGCTAATTCAAACATAATATGTTAATAAGCAATATGAAAATATAAACATCAAATTTTATACAACAAATTCAAAAATGTTATAATTTGTTGTGTAAAATGTGGATATTGTTTTTGAATATGTGGTCAGTGGTCAGGTTAAATTACTATATTCACCTTGGCCGTCCTTAGCGAGGATGTGTTCAGACATGGTGATCTTAGACGAAGAGGATGCGGTACGGATGCTTGAGTACAGCACGCTGCACACCCAAATGACCAGGCCGATGATCGACTGCTTGTCGAAGGATGACTGCGGACATACAGTAACATGTCATTTTCTTTATCACAATAAATTAATATCTACAGAACAGTGTGATGTGAAAGTAATGAATAGGTGAATGACATATAAAAGTGGATAAATTGTACTTACAAAGGTTCTGAGGGCTAAGTGTAAATTTCTGTCACTTCTACTCGCTCTAGACAGCGAATGCGTTTGGCGTTGTGATTGGTAAAGAATTTAACACGGGCCAATTGCAACGCCGAACGTGGTCACCGTGATGAGCGACTACAGTGTTTTAAAGAACTAACATCATGTCGAACACTGGTATTTAGCATTCCAGCGTGGACATACTAGTGTTAATGACAAATCTCGCGAAGGACGCCCAAAATCCGCCTTCACTGAAGATAACATCATTTCTGTGAGACAAATAATTCTCGAAGATCGCCATGAGACGTATCGAGAGACAGAGGCTCTATTAGGCATCTCAGGGACAACCATTAAGAAGATCTTGCATGAAGGGCTTGGTGTGAGAAAGCTAGTTTGCCGTTGGATACCGCAGCTGCTTTCCGACGATCACAAGGCGGCCCGCGTCAGATGGTGTAAGAAAACTCTGCAAAGGTTCAACCGAGGAGAGTCAAATAACGTCTACGACATCAGTGGTGACGAATCTTGGATCTATAGCTACGATCCTGATTCCAAACAACAATCTACAATCTGGGTATTTCCAAGACGAGCCAAAGCCGACTAAAGTTGTTCGTTTTCGAAGCACTTCAAAGAAGATGGTGGCCACGTTGATTGAGTATTCGAAGCAGGAAAAAGTAGAAATTCTTGACCATCCTCCATACAGTCCTGACCTTAGCCCTAACTAAGCCCTAATTTCTTTACATTTCCTAACATTAAGAAAAGTGTTCGTGGTCAAAGTTCCAGTCCGGTGAAGAAGCAGTCGACGCTTTCAAGTCAGCCATTTTGGATACCCCCACTTTAGAGTGAAATAAATGTTATAATAACTGGTTTGAGCGAATGGAAAAGTATATCAAGCTACGTGGTGAATACTTAAAAAAACAATAAAAAGTACTATAAGGTTCTAGTTGTGTTTTTTTCTTTAAACGACAAAACTTAAAAGGCATGCCTCGTATGATAAATGAACGAAGTGAAGTGAAGACGACAACTGTACACAGACTAGCGAAAACTAATGTAATAGGAAAACATTTTTATTAATTCAATTCAAAAAACATAATTTTGATCGTAAATGATATACTTTATATAATACTTACCCAATATAGATCTTCTTTCGACTCCTGTTTATGCGTAATCAATTTAATTTATATTATTTAATCATAATAATTACAGTGTTCATAAAATACATAAATATTGGATTTAAATCACGTGGTGTTTATACGTATACTTTGCTATAAGTAGAAGACCAACGAGCCTGGATGAGAACTACGAACTAAATTTCTAAATCTGAGACAAAAGTACTCATTTCTATGGTAAATAATTTTGACAAAGTACAATAAGTTTAATATTGCTTGTTTACTTAAATAATCTGGCCATCCTGTGTTTGGAAACGATAGGAAGGACACTTACAGAAACTGGTATATTATGGCAAACAGCAGGCTGTCTGTTTTCAATAATACGCGTCAGAGTGCTTTTTACAGCGTTTGCCGAAGATATCTCTTTTCCTTCTTAATGCCTACTGAACCATTCAGTAAGTTACGGGTGCCTTAATATGTGCCTTTCTTGTTTACACATTTATAAGCCTCAAAATCAGCAAATATATAACGTTTTGCCTTCAATGGCGTTTAATTGGAAAAAGGAATTTTAATTATTTATTACTGACTCATCAAGTCGTACTATGTTATAATTATATATACACTTAGTCTAGCAAGGAAAAGTTATGTGGTAAAAAATACATATAATTATGTCCATGTACAGTGCAAAGCACTTTCTATGTATGCACAATATGTCTGACGGCAGTGGTAGTGTTCGATTCCCGGTCGGCTCGGTCGGACCAAATGTTTGAAGCTATGTATTTACAAAAAAAAGGATACAAGTATTCTATCAGTCAATCTAGCTTTTACAGTACAAGCTCTGCTTAGTTTAAAACTAGTTGGCGTTGTGTGTTAGATGTCTGTAAATATTATTATTATTGATCTTGACCATACATTTGTACAGATTCGATTTCATCAGTAGATATAAAAAAATATATTTTCAAACAAGTTGGAACTAAAATATAACCATAGAGATGTTTGAATTACTCTGTGAATTTCGTGAAAACTTTTTTGCACCAAATTCAAGGTTGGTAGTTTAGTTAAATTTTATATAACTCTTTAAACATGTAGGTGGTATGACTTTATAATAATAAAATTACTAACCTCATTCGTTCCTCCCGTCAAGCTGTTACATTCGGCTGGAGCGTTTGCCAGAGCTGACCACGTCAAAAAAATAACGTAAAGGGAGACGACAGCCGACTGCAACAATCCGGAGCGAGGCTGGTGCTCCTGAACTGAAGGGAGAATGGAGATGGCACTTGCTATCACCACCAGGATCAGATTAATCGATATGAAGAACTTGGACAGCCCACATCCGTCAGCCTGTGTTGTGAAAAAAACAATTAATTAGAAACTAGCTATTGTTCACGGATTCTCTAGCGTGATCATTTCCGATTTCTTGTTTCTAACTTTGTGAATGACGAACTTCCATACAATCGTTTATCCCTTATATACCCTTAGGAGTGAAATTGATTTAGTGGTTAGTGACCCTGACTGCTAAGCCGGAGGTCGTGGGTTCGATTCCCACCCAGGACAAATATTGTGTGATGAGCACGGTCATTTGTTCTGTGTCTGGGTGTAATTTATCTATAATATGTATTTATTTTAAATATATAAGTATGTTTATCAGCAGTCTGATTACCATAGTACAGGCTATGCCTAGTTTGGGATCAGACGGCTGTGAGATGTGTGACAAATAAAAAACAATAATATATGTATAGAAGAAGTGCACTACTGGTCACGGTAGGCAGTGTTAGATAGATACAAAACCCTTTAATGATTCTATAAATCTTTAATCAGAGTATTTATGATATGAAGTAGGATGAACTTTTGGGATGTTTTCTTAAGATTACAAGATTACCTCGCATTACAAATAATATAATAATAATAATAATATATATTCTACCACATACACACAACGCCATCTAGTCCCAAACTAAGCAGAGCTTGTACTATGGGTACTAGACAACTGATATAAATACATATATACTTTTTTTTTTTTGTAAATACATACATATTATACATATAAACACCCAGACCAAATCAAACATCAAATGTTCATGCACACAAATGTTTGACTTGAGCGGGAATCGAACCCGCGACCTTTGGAATAGCAGTCCATTACACAAACCACTACGCCATCCAGTCGTCATAAATAACATTGGACCTTTCATCCTTAGAAAACCATTTGACTTCGTACGTCTATTTTGAACAATTTGTTTAGGTGATGCATCACATTTTCTAACAGCATAGATGTACTTATTTTTATTTTTATGTTAGAGGGGGCAGACGAGCAGATGGGTCACCTGATGGAAAGTGACCATCGCCGCCCATGAACGTCTGCAACTCAGGAGTCACAAATGTGTTGCCGGCCTTTTATTCATAATTTATATATTTGTTTGCTGATCAAAGGTGTACAACGGTGTTACATTTTTATTTATACATGTCCTCTTTGGTCTACCTTAACGGCATGCAAAAATTGATTACAATAATTGTCAATTGATTTAGAATAAAAAAATTACATTTGTCAATAAACAGATTAAATAAAAATGTCAATATAAAATATAAAAAATGTCAAAATGTTACAATTATACTTAACGTTACAAATAAACTTATTTAATTAAGCAACAATAATATGATCATCGTAACTAGTAATAATGCTATAAAAATATTATTAGTTTCCTGAGAGAAAGTCACTTATTGCATAGTGACTTTACTAAAAATTCATGAAAGCGCTTCTTAAATAGATTAACATTTAACTTGTAGCCCAAACGAGGAGCGAAGTGGGGCTTCAACGGCGATTTTGTAACCGTCCGGATCGGAGAGTTACAAAATCGCCAATTGTGAAGGCTCATGACTTTGCATATCTGGAACTCGCGTGGGCGTTGATACCAGTTGTGACAAGCCATAGGTCAGGTCGAAATCGTAAACAGATCTCCCTGCGTGAGCCAAGCCATTCGGCGTTGTGAGCAATAAGTCGCCAAGTATCACGATCTCCGCGGATGGGATCGGCTGCAGTACGGAATCTGTAGCCATTTGGACGTGGTCGGCGGCGCGAACTGATATCACCTCTAACGTAAGGAGTGTTCCAGATGATAGCCAGGGTAGGAGAGGTAGGATGTGTCCGTTGGAGATGATATCTACGTCTCTCAGCCCAGACATCCACGCATTATTGTGCATAACATTGATCTTTAGCGTCTACTGTAGCTGCTCGTCTTATGTTTTTAAATATACATGTGCTCATCCTGCGAAGGTAAACTGTACACACACTACTTATCCTAAAGCAGGACAAAAGTCCGAGCTCATATTTTAAACACCCTAGCAGATTCATCACATCCGTAAGTTTTAAATATTAATAGTGTTTATAGGTATGTATGTAACTTAGCAAGTATACATGTATGTTTATTTCAGTATGTATGTATATATATCTGTCCCACTGTTTCTGTGCATGTCCTCAATTATTATTATTATATTTTTAAAAGAAACAAAAACTTAATTTCTAGTACACCTACTCAGACATTTTCAGACCACCCCAAAGGTTGACTGGGAGAAAATGCCAGTGGTACTAAGTCCGCCACGTAAACTTAAGTTGTAATTAGTGCGTAAAGAATTTAAAAAAATATATCAGCAATTTATTCGGTAAATACCTTCTTTTTGTTTGAAGGGCAATAAACTCATTGCTTTGAAATGAATTATTATTACTTCATTATTAATTGATTTCTGTAAATGGAGTAAGCGACAGATTACTCTGGCCGAGCGTGCTCACAATTTAATACAACGGTAACTCTATATAACCACATAGAGTAAACATGCTGGGCAAACGCCCAGCAACATTAGGACTCTTTATAATCAGCTACTGTATGATGATATTTAATTTTAACTTACCTTAGTGTAATACACATAAAGCAGCACGACGCCAGTAATTGCGAGCGCGAAGCAAGTGAGCATCGATAACAATAATGCTGCATACCATCCGCGAGACTCTGACTCCTCATAGTTCGCTGTAAAAAGCATATATTATGAACATACTGACACCAATCTTTTATTATTATATTTAAAATTATAAAATGATTCCTTATCGAAAAGTATAGTACATTATTTCTGTTCTTTAAACATTGAGTGGTTGGATTATTACGAATCATTAAAGCACATCTACTTCTTATTGGTGTTAAGCAGATTATAAAACAGGCTTAGGAACTTATTCATCTTTGGGAAGTGTTATATTGTAATGATCGCTCCTAGTTATCGAGTAGCGGAACTAAGGTGAATGTTTTACGATATTTTAGAAGTTTTCCGGCGAGAATCGATTTACTACGTTATATTTCGGGACAGTTAATGAACGTTTTGAAACTACTCGCCGCAATGTGGTGTAGTTTCATTTTAATTATTCGAATACACAGTGTTACGAAGAACAGCGAAGCCAAGCGACTATTATTACCGACGATTGGGTTTATTGTTTCATCCCGGCAGGCCCAGTGAAGACTTGGAACGCTTAGAAATAGGTATTTTTGTTTTCGTTAATCGTATTTTTCATCTCATCACGAACGTGGGTCTTAAAATTATTTTTTCTAAATATACTTACAAACCCAACGTTCAGCCCAGGAGTGTGCAAAATCAATGATGAGTATAAGTTGGATAACTATGAAACAGAAGCCTCCTATCATGCCGAAAACCATCCAGGTAGATGCGAATTGACCTTCGGGAATGAAGAAAGCACCAATTATACCGCCAATCACCACGAGATACTTGATGCCCCAGAAACTAAAATCAGAAATTTATAATTGAGTAATTACTATTCAGTCTACATACAGATTAAATCATACACAATTTTAAAAATAATAAAAAAGTTGTTAATTACATTCTTACTTACACTTTTAATTACGATTTTGAATAGTTTTCTTATTTTTATATTTATGTTTTTGTGAGATATGTATAATAAGAATAAACATAAGTGACTCACATAAAGAAATCTGCAAACATACTGTTATCAGTGTAAGATAACAGATAAAGGAAGTGCACACACACACATTGAGATTAAAACAATAATTTGAACACATACCCATTCTGAATGCCTGCTCGAGGATCTTTAGAAGACTTAACACCAATCATTATGAGGGCCATCAAAACAAAGAAGAGGCATGCTGCAAAACAAATTCTGGAAAAAAAAATTGTGATCTAGATAATTTTTTTACACAGTTTATGTACAAAGCAATGCTTTCTGTAATATACAATAACTTTTAATACAGAATTTAAACTTAAATCTTAAAAATTTAAGTTTAAATTCTGTATAAAAAGTTGATGATGATAAATTTTGCTGTCAATGAAAGATTATCATCACATAATTCTTAGTTATAAGTGTTTTTTTATAAACATATTGAAACTATATTAAACTTATATTATTAAAAGGTCAATTTAACTTTTAATAATATTAGTTTAATTTTAATTTAATTACTGCTCCAACATGAACAAAATAAACTAATCATTACAAATTAATTGGTCAAGAATGCTAGGTCATACCTTTCCAGTATTTGTTAGAATTATTTATGAGTTTGAATGTGGATAAGGTCTTAGTTCAAATTCAAAGAAAATAGTGAATTCAATATAATTAAAAATTAAATATATATTCTGCAAGTGACTACACAACAACAATTCCTAAAGAAATATTCTAGGCACAATAACATTACTTGTAGGGCATAATTAGATACATTTAAATGACTTTCTATGTAATTATAAAACATTTTTTTTTCTATTAGACATAGTTATACAAACTACATAAGAACACTAACTGTATATATTTTTGGCACAAATTGACATATGCAGTACCAATATTATGAATGTAGTACAAATTTAATAAGAATCCATATTAACCTGTACACTGCTAAATAACCAACAGCTTGATCACAGTCTACTTTGAAGTCACCTGGTATATATTGTGTAGAATTTTTACAAAATGGCACCTGAAAGAAGTTTAAAATAATTATATTTATATTGTTTATTATATATCTAAACCCTTACCAGCACTTTAAATTATGACATTCCAGATAGTTAAAATGGTAAACTTAAAAAAAAAAACATTTAGACTAGGATCTATACGGGTAATGCCCTCTTACTTTTTTCATTTGATCATGTAATCCAGGAGCAAGAGTAACACAAGCCACCACCATGACTAGCAGTAACATCAGCGTGTACATCAGCCGACTTGATGTAGAGTTGGCACATGATGGACATGCCGAACAGCATAAGGAACATGCAGCACTCCCGCAGCAGCATGCCAGCTACAACCATGTAAAGACAATTTAAATTAAATTTAGAAAAGTATAAAAATACTTATTAGTCACAATCCCTAATCTTAACTATGAATGATTTTTTGACCAGCCATATTTGAAGGCTACTTCTCATAATAAAAGTTAGGTCAAAATTCAGTTCCAATCTACTTTTGATTTCACAAATGTCATAAAAGGTATTTTAGTAGTAAAAATAATAATAGAAGTTATCAAATTTTTTTACAATTACTTACTACAATTACACCTAGTAATGATTTGTGATGTAATAATTACATATCATTTTGCAACCATACATTTGTGCTCGACATACAGACCTCCTTTGAATGTTTTAGCATTCATCAATTATTATTGGAGCAAGACATTTCGCATAGCCCAAAATACAATAAACTTCTAATTTGAAAATTTAAAAAAAACCCATGTAAAGGTATGACAGACTAGACAGAACGATTAAAGGCTTTTTTTGATTGAATTAAAGATCTAATCAGTAATAAAAACAAGGTAACTAGGAATACAAAGAAATATAAGTACATTTACTTCATTGCATTTTAGACAAAAATTCTGATTATATAAGGTAACATTCCAAAATCCAATGCTTCTATGTGCAAAATTATGTTTCCTTATTCATAATATGTGGTTTTGAAAACAGATTACTCTTCAATTATGAAAAACAAATAAAACATGAATCACCTGAGCTGCTGAACAAATGCCCAAAACTGCCCCCATAACAAAGTGCTTCGGATATCCCTGAGTTTAAGCGTTAAAATATTTTAGATGTGTTGAATCTTATAATAAAAATCGATAGCCCGTTGATGACTAGCTAAAATATTAAAGTATATTTCTTACAGGTACTACACAGTACACAACACTCTGATTTGACAAGTTTAGTGCCATAATAACTTTGGTCATAGATTATATTTCTGTCGTTGTAGATAAACTCAAGCGTAGTCGGTATTTAATCAACTTGGTTCAGTTGGAATGGATTTTTGGAGTCTATTGATTAACAGTTTTATAAATCTCAATAATTGTACAATATCGGTACAAAGTGCCTAGATTCCAGTGATACCCGTTAAAAGCAAACTTCAGTACCTCAGAGCAAGATATTTATTAAACGTATTGTGTATGCTTAAATACAATGGTTGTAGACAAACGATAACGCGATTCAATTCGACTAACGCCATCTAGGGTCTAACATGGGAATTATTTTACCTAGTAACCTATTTTGTTTAACAATGGTTGCCTATTTTAATCTACAACAATACATTGCCTTTTCTTGCTATTTATTATTATATTAGCTTCTACGTCATTCTATTAAGTTATGTACATTCCGCCCACCAAAAGGATTATTTCCTTTTACATCCGCCCACCATGGTCAAACTCAAGTAATAAGAACAATGGACTGTATATAAATTTTAGCTAAAGTACAGGGAAGGTATTATTGGACGTAATATAATTGATTCAATAAAATTTAAAGCTTTAACAACAGAACAAAATGTCGACATAACAACAAACATAACAATAAAAAATTATCCTAAATAACTATAACTATTTTAAAACTACTCAATTTTAACAAGATTTGTGATTATTGTGTCGTGGGAAGTAAACATAACTTCGAAGTTGGACGTTTGATGGTAGTACCCTTGCAACGTATAGTGACAACGCGAGTGATATTATCCTTTCCTGGGTGGACCTCAACGACTCTTCCATACAACCATTTTGCAGGAGGTTAGTTATCTTCCTTAACTAAGACGATGTCATCGATTTTAAACTCCGTAGATCGTACCGCCCACTTATGCCTTTGGAAGAAATGTGTAAGATATTTATTCTTCCACCTGTGCCAGAAACCTTGCACCATACGCTGCGTCAACTGCCACCTGCGTAATGTACTTACCGTGGCGTCCTCATAATTATAATCTGGTGTCACTATCAATGGTTGGCCCACTAAGAAGTGTCCAGGAGTTAAGGGTAAAGGATTCTCCAGATCACACAAACCCCCCCCCCCCCCCGTATCCCCTGTACGATCGCTGCCCACGTCCTTTCGAGCACCTTATGTTGATGGGTCCCGCATAGTCGACGCCAGTGTTATAAAACGGCTTACTGGGAGTCACCCTGCAAGCTGCAAGCTCGCCCATCAACTGATGTTACTGCATAACGAATAAAGGGAACACAACCATGTATGTGTGATCGTACAAGATTTTTCACCCGGCTGATATAGTACTTGGTGCGTATAAAGTTAAGTACCAACTGTTGACCCCCATGATACGTTCTTTCATGCGCGTTGGCTACAATTAACTTAGCCAAGCTTGAGTCATGTGGTATAACAATCGGATGCTTTGTATCATTAGGTAGTTCAGAGCAACGCAGCCTACCCCCAACGCGTAATAGGTTGCTGTTGTTATCCATAAAGATGTTTAATTTATGCAAGGGACTTTTCTTGTCTATTGTCGTATTGTTTTCTAGGGCTACAATTTCTGCCTGAAACCATTGCTGCTGACTTTGCCTAATGCAAAAATGTAATGCTGCCCGTAGTTCTATTACTGATAAGTAAGGTGTTAATTTATTATTATTTCTACGACGTCCGGTTGACTGTAAAAACCTTTTACACCAAGCTACAACCCTTACTAGCCTTCTGAGCGATGAAATTCTGGAGCCCCAAATTTCATCAAAATCCTGTAACGGTATGTACCTTCACAGCTTTCTTCTCCTCATTGGTACGTATTCCGCTAGGTCTTGTATATTCTATGGGATCGCTTCTTAACCAAGGCGGTCCGTGTTTCCAAAGATCACTACTGAGTAGAACAGATGACGCCAGTCCGCGGGAAGCTATGTCTGCCGGGTTATCTTTGGACTGGACATGAGCCCATTGTGTGTTGTCTAACAAACTTAGTATCTCCGAAGTGCGGTTAGCTACGTAGGTTTTCCAACGACTCGGATGATCGTTTAACCATGCCAAGACAACAGACGAATCGGTCCAAGCATGGATGCTCGGCTTTGGTATATTCATTACCTTAGCTACTTCGGTTAACAATTTCGCCACTAAAACAGACCGACACAGTTCCAGGCGAGGAATGGATATTTGCTTTATCGGAGCTACTTTCATTTTGGCTGTTAGAAGGTGGGTGTGTATAATCCCATTGAGATCGATCATTCGACTATATACGACAGCGGCATAAGCTATATTGGATGCATCGCTAAATCCGTGCAGCTCCATCACAACATTTCCTTCCGCTTTACCAATCCATCTTGGAATGTGAAAATCAACTAATTGTTCTAGTTCTGCTCGATAATATCTCCATTCTTATAGGAGTCCCGGTGGCGGCTCATCATTCCAGTCAATACCCGCAATCCACAACTTCTGGATAAACACCTTAGCGGTTATGATACACGGCGCTATCCATCCCAGTGGATCTTACAGTCGCGATATTTCAGCTATCACTGTTCTTTTCGTTTCAGAAGCAGTAGGCGATGACATTCTCACGGAATAATCGAATTCATCGGTATGTCTATTCCAGGTAAGTCCTAAAACCTTTGTCACCTAATCCATTTTTAGTTTTAAATCCTTACCCGAAACTTCTTTTAACCTCTCGAGTAAGTGCATCCTATTGCTTGTCCATTTCTGTAGCTGGAACCCTCCTTTCCCTAATAAAGCATTCATTTCGCTGTAAATTTGAATTACTTCTGTTTCAGATTGGTAGCCAGTCATAAGGTCATCCATATAAAAGTCAGTTTTTACCCAGACAGCAGCCATTGGATACCTTTCGCCTTCATCGCTAGCAACCTGATGCAATGACTTCACTGCCAAATAAGGGGCGCATGAAGTTCCGAAGGTGACGGTTTGAAGTCGGAAATCCTCTATCTCTTTGCTATGATCCTCTCTCCAGACAATCCTTTGAAAATCTGTATCTGGCCTTGCTACTTTAATTTGGTGATACATTTTTATTATATCTGCCGCCAGACAGATTGGATGTTGTCGCCACCTCATTATAATATGACGCAAATCTGCTTGAAGAGTGGGTCCTACCATTAAGGCATCATTCAAAGAGAGCCCGTTGCTCCCTTTGCATGAGGCATCATACACCGCTCTCACTTTAGTGGTCAGCTTATCTTATCTCACCACTACGTGGTGGGGTAAGTAAACTGCATCACTATTATTTTTGTCCGATTCAACTGTCACTTTGTTTAAATGACCAAGCAATATATATATTCCTTTATCACCTCAGAATACTGTTGTTTCAATTCACGATCCCTAGCCAACTTCCTTTCCAATCCTAGCAATCTTTTTACAGCTATATTTTTCAAATTAAGCGTCCGATCATCTGAACGAAAGGGTAATTGAACAATGTATCGTCCAGCTTCATCTCTTTTCGTTGTAGCATTATAAAAGTCCTCACAGTACTGTTCTTCAGGGGTGAATGGCTTTTTAGATAACGATGGCTCTGCATCCAGTTCCCATAACCTTTTCAACATATCGTTCTCTTCAATTTGAGCATGCATCGCAATAATCGTGTTACAGGAATTGAGGGAACTTTCAGCTCTACTAACATGGCCCGACACAATCCAACCCAAATGCGTGTCTTGTGCAACCGGAGAGCCCTCGGGACTCTTGATTAGTCCTACCTTTAAAATACGGCAGTAGGTTTCCGCCCCTAACAAATTGTCAATTTTGTTAGGTACATTAAACTTCGGATCGGCTTAATTCATACTGTAAATTTCGGGCCAATCCTGAATTCTAAATTTTGTGTCTGGCAAAACTGATGTCAGTGTGCTCAATACATGCGCAGTTACTTCTATGGTAAAGGATGGGTCATGCAATGATTGTATATTAATATTAACGACATGTCTAGAGATGACCTTGTCATGACCGTTTCCTATACCTGCAATAGTGGTTTTCGATGCCACTTTCTTTAGACGAAGTAATTGAGCTGCGGCCTCCGTTATGAAGGATGAAGGGAAGTGATCCCTGATCCAACAAGGCTCTTAAACTCTGAGAGGACCCATTTAGTGATTCGGCCTTTATCAGAGCCGTGGCTAACAGGACTTGCCCCTGCGCTTGTCCATTCACTAGATGGGTTGTTATATTTGCACTGACTTCTGAGGTACTCTCATGTGAGGTTGTAGAAGACTCCATTGGCATAGAAACCGCACTAGTTACACTGGAGTTCTTGGTGGGGTGCAACAACGTGTGGTGCTTTCGCTGGCATATGAGGCATTTGGAAAGAACGGGGCAAACCTTGGAAGTGTGTTGACCACCCAAACAATTAAAACACACACCCAAAGATTGGGAAATATCTCGGCGCTTGTCACTATCTTCTTTACAAAATTTCTTACAGTTGCCTAATTTATGACTATCAGAACAATGCGGACAGGTGAGACTAGTAACACCATGCATTACTTTGGCGTGAGATGTAGGAACGCCTTTCGGTTTAGCCTTAGGCTCTATAAATTCTAGTGCTCGAAAACGCGTCTCTATAAACTGGCAAAATTGTTTAAAGGAAAGGAAATATCATCGGATGACTGATTAACATGCAGTTCCCACTGCTTCCTAGATTCTACGTCCAACTTCAAACCTATCACATATATAACAATTACGTCCCACGAACCAACATCAATACCAAGATTGGTAAGCTCATGCAGGCAGTCACTAGTAACATCAAGAAGTTCCTTTAGTGCAGTTGAAGATTCGACAAGAATGTTACGTTGGTTAAACAATCGCTTTAAAATACAAGTAGACATGAATTTCTTATTGTTATATCTATGTTCTAACATTTGCCAACACTTGTTATAATTGATATCCGTTATAAGAACATGTCTTATTAACTGCTCTGCTTCGCCTGACAATTGAGTCTTTAAATAATGAAGGCGTTGTACATCATCTAACTTTTTATTGTTGTGTACTAACGAAATGAACA